GGCCTGAAAGCAATCAATAGTGTTAATTAGTTGCCTTAGTTTGATTTATGTTATTTTTAAAGAAGGTTGCTGGTTAGGAAGTGGGAGTGTTGTGGTTACCAGGAGAGCTCTGAGTCAGGTGGCCTGGCGTGTGCCCCAGTGGCCTCTATGCCGGTTTCTCATCTGCCGAGCAGGGTGCCTGTCCCTGCGCTGCAGGGGGTCAGCACCAGTGCTGCAGCTGCCCAGCCAGCCCTTTGTTTGCTGTGGCTTGTCCTCTCCTGGAGCTGGCCGTGGCCTGAGCCTCATGTCCTGAGTCTCAAAACAACGTCACCTTGTTCCTTTTTGTCTCTGCAAATTCTGTTCACTGGTGAGATGGTCTCTTAATTTAATTTCTATAATGGAGAATTCCCAGCAGATACAGTGGTAGGCAGAGGCTGTCACGAAACCATGTACTCACCACGCAGCCTCACAGTGACCCACTCATTGCCACTCAAGTGTCATCTGTACCTCCATCCACTGTAGTCTTTTCTGTGTTCATACTTTTAAAAAATGCAGTTGAGATACAGTGGGAGTACAAGAAAGCATAGGCAGGCACGGTGCACGCTCTGACCGACGTGGGTGTGTGCGCACATGTGTGAGGCAGCCTCCGTAGCGGGCGTCTCCGTCAGCCACATGGGCCTCCTTGCTTCCCCTGTGATCTACCTTCCCTCCACTACTGTCTCCAGGCAGCCCCGACCCACTTTCTGCCACTGCAGGTTACTCTGCATGCTCTAGAACTTTACCAACATGGACTCGTTCCGTGCATACTTTTTTCTCCCCTGATTGCTTTCAATCAGCACATGATTTTGAGATTCTCCCTGTTGTTGTGTGTAATTTTTTAGTCATTTTACCTCTTTGTTACTGAGGAGTGTTCCACTGTAGGGAACTATGTATGGTTTGTTCATCCCACCAGATTGATGTCCATGTTTGGGCTGTTTTCGACTTTGGTGATTATAAATAAAGCTGTTAGGAATGTTCACGTGGGTTTTGTTAGTAGATATGTTTTTTGTTTGTTTTGGGCAAATACCCAGGAGTGGAATTACTGGGTTTTCTAGCAACTTACGTTAAGATGAACTACCAGGATGTTTTCCAAAGGGATCATGCAGGAAGGTCCCAGTAGCTCCCCAACGCGCCAGCATGTGCTATTGACATGGTTTGGTTGTGCTGGTCTAATTTGAGCTGAGTAGTGGTATCTCGCTGTGGTTTTAATTTGCATTTCCCTGGGACGCCTGAGTGGCTCAGCAGTTGAGCATCTGCCTTTGGCTCAGGGCATGATCCTAGGGTACCGGGATCGAGTCCCACATTGGGCTCCCTGCAAGACGCCTGCTTCTCCCTCTGTGTCTCTGCCTATCAGTGTTTCTCATGAATAAATAAAAAAATCTTTAAAAAATAATAATAATAAGCATTTTCCTAATAATTAATGATCTCTATCTTTTGCTTGTTTTTAAGAATTGATTTTGCTATTGAATTTTAAGTATTCTTTACCTATTCTCGTTACTAGTCCTGTATCAATGTGTATTTTGCAAATGTTTTCTTCCAGTCTCTGGCTTACCTCTTCATATTCTTAACAGTGTCTTTTGAAGCATAGATTGCTTAAATTTTAATAAAAGTCCAGTTTGTACACATCATTTTTCTTTTATAATTTGTGTTTTCTGCCTCCTAAGAAATATTTGCCAAATCTGAGTTCACAAGCATTTTTTTCTATGCTTTCTAGAACGTTTATGGTTTAGGTTTTCTATTTAACTTTTTTTGTTCATTCTGAGTAAATTTTGACATGTGGTACAGGGTATGAGTTGAAGTTGATTGTTTTGCATGTGGATGTCCAATATTTCCAGCACCATTTGTTAATGAGACTGCCCTTTCTGTATGGAATTTCCTTATCACTTTTGTCAATAGTCGGTTGACAGTGTAGGAGTTGGTTTATTTCTAGGCTTGGTTTTGTTCTGCTGACCCACGTCTGTGTTCTTTCACCAAAGAAAAACTTGCTTAATTTAGCTGTATAGGAATCCCTGGGTGGTGCAGCGGTTTGTCGCCTGCCTTTGGCCCAGGGCGCGATCCTGGAGACCCGGGATCGAATCCCACATCGGGCTCCCGGTGCATGGAGCCTGCTTCTCCCTCTGCCTATGTCTCTGCCTCTCTCCCTCTCCCTCTCTCTCTCTCTCTCTGTGACTATCATAAATAAATTTAAAAAAATTAAAAGAAATAATTTAGCTGTATAGTAAATGTTGAAATTGGGCGGAGTAAGTTCTCCACCTTTGATCTTCTTTTAAAATATTAGTTTGGTGGGGTGCTTGGGTGTGCCAGTTAAACAAGCAACTCTTGGCGCACCTGGGTAGCTCAGCTGATTAAGCATCTGTCTTCAGCTTGGGTCATGATCCCGGGATTCTGAGATAGAGCCCCACGTGGGGCTTCCTGCTCAGCATGGAACCTGCTTCTTCCTCTCCCTCTGCCTGGTGCTCCTCCTGTTTGTGCTCTCTCTCTCTCTTTCTGTCAAATAAATAAATAAAATCTTTTAAAAAATCCCAGACATCCAACTCTTGATCTCAGCTCAGGTCTTGATCTCAGAGTTGGAGTTCGGGTCCCATGTTGGGCTCCACAGTGGGTGTGGAGCTTACTTGAAAAAATGATAATAGGGGATCCCTGGGTGGCGCAGTGGTTTGGCGCCTGCCTTCGGCCCAGGGCGCGATCCTGGAGACTCGGGATCGAATCCCACGTCGGGCTCCCGGTGCGTGGAGCCTGCTTCTCCCTCTGCCTGTGTCTCTGCCTCTCTCTCTCTCTCTCTCTCTCTCTCTGTCTCTGTGACTATCATAAATAAAAATTAAAAAAAATTTTTTTGAAAAAATGATAATAATAAAAAGTACTGCTTTGGTTATTCCAACTGCTTTGGTTATTCCATCTCCTTTGCATTTCCATATGAATTTTAGAATCAGCTTGTTGATTTTTGCATAATTTTGTCAGGAATTGCATTGAATCAATAGTGATTTGGAGATTGGCCATTGAGCCTTCCAATATTGGATCTTTCAACCCATGAACATGGTATATCTTTCTGCTTACTTAGATCTTTCCACATTTCTCCCAGCAGTGCTCTTTTATCTTAGTGTGGGATCTTGAACACCTTTTGTTAGATTTAGTCCCAGATAGGTAATTAAGTTTTTGACACCATTGTAAATGAGATTCTGTGTTAAATTTTATTTTTCATTTGCCTGCTGCTAATAATGCAGTTGATTTTCATATATTAACCATGACTTTTGCTAAATTTATTGATTCTGGTACTTGATTTGTAGATTTCTTAGGACTTGCTGTAGAAATAACTATCATCTGTGAATAGGGATAGTTTCACTTCTTCCTTTCAGTCTTTATGATTTTTTTTATTTTCCTTGCCTTATTGAATTGGCTAGGATCAACACAATTTTGTGTAGAAGTGGTAAAAGCTGTAGGTTTTCATAGATGGTCTGTTTGAGTTTGAGGAAATTTCCTGCTGTCCTTGGTGTTGTTTTTCCTAGGTGTGAGCATGGTGCTGTAGTTGTGTTAAAAGAAGTAGTCTATAAGTTTTACAGATGAATGCTGAGGTGTTTATGAACGAAATAACAGTATCTGTGGTGAGTTTCTGAATGATAGGGAACAGGTGCAGAAAAAGCATTTGACAAAAAGTCTCTGTTCATGATAAGAGCCCTCAGTGCAGGCCTTGTCTTACTGTGGTGACCTTAACCTTGCTCACCCGGTCTACCATGTTTCTCTGATGTGTTTTTCCTTTTTTTTTTTTTTTTTTGACTGAATTTTGATTTGCCAACATATATATAGCGTAACACCCAGTGCTCATCTCATCAAGTGCCCTCCTCAGTGCCCATCACCCAATTACTCATCCCCCTGCCCAGTGTTTTTCCCTTTTTAATTAATAAATACCTTGGAGGAGATCCTTGGAGACCATGTAAATACCTCATCTCTCCTTGGACTTTTGCCGCAGATTTTGGTGTCCAGAGGTGGGTCTCACCTGCCGTGGCTGGTTACTGCTTTGTTCTAAAGGTGGGTTTCTCTTTCCTCATTCTCTTCATATTATAGACTGCGAGTCTTCTATAAGGAAGAGCTGTTCTTCCATATGTATTTATTTCATTCTGTGGGCTATAACCCACTACTGCTATTTTGTCACTCACATTGTTCCTCTGCTGGCCATTTGGGGCTCTCTCGGTGTGTGCCCTGTCCTTGCCCCGCCTTCCTGAGTACATCCTCACTTTCTAGAGCCACAGATGCTTCAGAGTCATCTTGAATTTCCCATGTTCCAAACCTTTGAATCAGCCACATCTCTGAGGAGCTCTGGTTTCTTTTTATTGGAGAGTAGTTTGTGCTATTTTTTGAGATGGAGTTGTTTGTCTTCTTCTTGCTGAGTTGTGAGAATTCTTGACATATTCTGGCAGTGAGTGCCCCATGAGAATACTGTATTACGCATAGTGCTGCTTCCACTTGACTAGTGGACGTCTTCAGTGTGTCAGTTCATTTTTTGGTGGTTACTCTTCTGGGTCACGTCCAGGAGACTTTTCCTGCCCAAGTTACGAAGGTATTCTCTTTTGTTTTCTTCAAGAAGCTTTGTAGTTTCAGCTTTTGTGTTCAGGTTTAAGATCAATTGTGAATGGATTTTTGTGTATGTCAAATGGGGGTTTATATTTGTGGGGATTAAGATTCATTTTTTTTTTCTATTCAGTTGTTCCAGCTTCATTTATTAAAAAAGACTTCCTTTTCCCCATCAGACTGTCTTGGTGCCTTTATCGGAAGTCTGCCTGTTGAGGGCAGGCCTGGTGGTGCAGCCCCAGTGGTGCAGCGGTTTAGCACCGCCTGCAGCCCAGGGTGTGATCCTGGAGACCCAGGATCGAGTCCCACATCAGGCTCCTTGCGTGGAGCCTGCTTCTCCCTCTGCCTGTGTCTCTGCCTCTCTCTGTGTGTGTCTCTCATGAATAAATAAATAAAATCTTAAAAAAAAAAAAGAAGTCAGCCCGTTGAGATGTAAGTCTGCCTCTGTTCTGTGCTCTGGCTAATTGATCTCTCTCTTCTGTATGCCAGCACACATTCTCTTGGTTACTGGAGATTTACAGTGGGTCTCAAAATAAGGCAGTTAAATCTTTTAACAGTGTTCTTTTTAAAGATTATGTAGGCTCTCATAGATTCTCTTTGTATGTTAGTTGTAGAATCAGCTTGTCTGTTTCTCAGCAGGCCTACTGGGCTTGTTCTAGGAATTCCTTGGAATTGGCAGTTCAGTTCAGGAAGAAGGGTCATCTTAACAACGTCGAGTGTTCTGTTCCATGAACATAGTTTGCCTTGCTTTGCTTCATTTTTGATTTGTCTCAGCAATGTTTTACAGTTTTCAATATAGAAGTCTTGGAAAATTTTTATTAAATTTGTCACTAACGGGGTGCCTAGGTGGCTTAGTCACTTAATATCTGACTCTTGGTTTCAGCTCAGGTTGTGATCTCAGGGTTGTGAGATCGAGCCCCAGGTTGGGCTCTGCGCTGGGCTAGAGCTTTCTTGAGATTCTCTCTTTCCCTCTGCCTCTGCCCTGCCCCTGAATGCACTATCTCTAAAATAAATAAGTAAATCTTTTAAAAAATTATCCTTAGGTATTTATGTGTTACTGTTATTTTAAATGGCATTTAAAAATTTTAACAATTCTTTGGAGCTGGTATATGCATACATAGTTCAGTTTTGCCCATCGACCTCATGTCTTGTGACCTTGCTCAATTCATGTAAATTCTAGAAGCTTTTATATAAATTCTTAGGGGATGGCCTGTGTATCATATTGTGTGTCTGTGAATGGAGACATTTCGCTTCTTCTTTTTTAGTCTTTATACTGTTTAGTTATTTTTCTTGCCACTTGCTGCTGGCCGGGGCCTGTCGTAGGGTGTTGAAGGGAAATGGTGGTGGCCTGTGTCCTTGCCTGTCCCCACCCTTCTGGGAGTGCTCAGTCCTGCACCTGTAGGACCTGTACCTTCCTGTACTGTCAGGTCTCCTGACATGCACCATGTGTGCTGCTGAGCAGAGAGTTTACTGCGAGGACATGCTCATGAGAAGGGAAGGGAGGGAAAATTCGGATGTATTAGAGGGACCCTTGGGCAGGTTGATGCTTGGAGGTGGGCATTGCCCAGCTGGCTCTGGTGACTGTGAGTGTGAAGGGGTCTTGTGGGGAGGGGCTCCAGAGTATGAGGTGGGAGTGTGTGTGTGTGTGTGTGTGTGTGTGTGTGTGTGTTTTGGGGGGAACTGGTGGGACATGATGATGAAGGAAACTGCTAATTGGACTCAGCAGCTGCTTCCTGCTCTGGTGAGGGAGTTTGGCTCAAGGACACAGGGACACGGGATGTGAGACGCCCATAGGACAGCACAGGGTGTCCCTCCCTCCTACTGGAGACCTCCCGTCCCCACAAAGTGGAGTTGGCAGGGAGGCCACAGGCAGAGCAGGACAGTGGGCATGTGGTCACAGCCCCACCTCACTCCACCTCTTGCTTCCTCAGAGTTTTTATCCTGCCTGGGGCTTGGGTTTTGTCTTGGACGTTTTCTGTATCTGTTGAGATAATCACTTTTTACCCTTTATCCTGTTAGGTAAGGTGAGTAGTGATTCTTTCTTGCCATAAACCCCACCTGATTAGCATGTATTGCTGACTTCAGTTTACTAGTGCTTTTAGAGGACTTTTGTGTCTGTGTTCATGAGGGATATTGGTGGGTAGATAGCGTGTTCTCCAGTTTTGCCTCCCTCTGGTTTTGGTATCAGGGTAACATTGGCCTCATAAAACTGAGAACGATTAGTGTCACTCCTGCTTAAATGTCTGGTAGAACTGTGCAGCGAGGCCAGCGAGACCTGACGTGTCTGTGGGAAGGTGCTTGAGCAGCGAGGGAATCGTATGTAGTAGGCTCAGGGCTGTTCCAAGATTCCCTTTCTTCTCGTGTCAGTTTTGCTCATGTGTCTTTCCAGGAATTAGTTCATTTCATCTAAGTCCTCACATCCCTTGGCGGGACGTTCGTTTTCCATCACGTCCCATGTTTTCTCTGGAAGATCTGTAGCATCGACTCCTCTCCCGAGGCTCTTTGTCAGGGTTGCATTGGGATCCAGCAAGGGTGACGTGACGCCTTGGGGTTGGCAGGTGTGTGTTTCTGTCCTTTACTGTGTAGGCTCCCTCCGTGTCTGTTTACTGCAGCGTGTTAGCTGAAGAAGCCCCCGTGTCCTGGGGTTGGGTAACGCATGGCCTGACAGCTGCTGGCTCCCGGTGCACGTGTTGCCATCCAGGTTCTCTGCCTGAAGTAGGCTGCTTTCCTTGGCTCTGTCCCTTGTGGGCCAGGAGCCCCCAGGAGCTCCCAGCAGCTGACAGTGACACAGGGACGGGAGCTCCCCAGACCGCGTGAAGCGCAGCTTCATCCACGGCATTACATGGTTTACCCTGAAGTAATGCGCATTTTCTCTTACACTAGTTTCTCTTGTGCATTTTGAGTTGAATGGTGAGGATTTTTTTTTAAGTGTTTGGGAGTAAACAGTGACACAGTTGAGAGTAAAAAATAGAGCGTGAAGAATACTCTTCACTGTTGTTTCTGCTTTTTTGTGTTTCAGATGGGTCTGTGAAGAGATCCCAGACCTCAAGCTTGCTATGGAGAATTACGTTTTAATCGACTACGACACCAAAAGGTGAGCAGAGCTCTGCCCGAGTTGCCTCTCAACGCTTGCTGGGGACACAACCTCTGATCAGCTCTTCTTCGACGGTGCAAGCTGGTCTGAAATTTCCTTTTAGAGTTGGCTGTCGCCTCCACAAAGTTATTTTGGTAGGAAATGTTTATCAAATATTGGCAGAGGCTGTCAGAGCAAGGACGTAATTGGAAATGCCACACTGCGGAAGCGGCGCCTGGTATGTGTGAAGTCAGGCTGAGCTAGCCGCCGAGTGGCCGTCCTCCCTGCGGGCGGCCACCAGCAGCCAGCGTTCCCACCCGGGAGCCTCTGCTCTGGCCTCCCAGGGCTCGGGCTCTGGCCAGCCCGTCTGGGGCTCAGTTGGGTTTGGTCTGTCACTGTGTGTCCAGCCCCTTGGCTACCTCTCACAGCTTCCTGCAGGCACGTCCTGGATCTCAGAGGAGAGTTCTGTGGGTGGAGAAGGGCGAGGCCATCTCTGGAATGCCTGCCTGGAGTTTTTGTTTCTCTTTGAGAAGGAAGGCTGACATTCCCTGCTCCTGCCGTTTTAGCTCTTGGCAGGATTAGAATCGGCACTGAAGTCTTCCCTGAAGGACTGGAGTCATCTGTGGGCTTTGATAGCTCGCTCTTGATAAGGGGTGCAGCCCAAAAGATACCCAAAGCCCCTAATAGGACCCGGCTCCCAGGTGGGGTGTTCACCTGGTCTCATTTTTGTGTTTGAAGGGCTTCTTGGTCTGTTTGTCAGCCCCAATCCAGTCCCCTGGCCTCCTGCCTTGTTCCCCATTTAATCATGAGCCCAGCATTTGAGAAAGAAAACTATGCTCACTCCTCATCCAGAGTGTCACGTGGTGTGCGTGCAGCTGGCAGCATGGGCCCGCACTGAGGACTGGAGTGAACCCCTCCCGCTTCCAGGGTGAGGGTGTACCCAGGCGCTGACCCTTGGACATTAGTCATTTGGCCAGGGAAACACACCTTCAGTAATGGGATGACTGCTCTGTGCCTGGCCAGGAGCAGCCAGGGCTATTAAGGGTAGTTTTGCTACAAGTTATTTGAAGGGGGGTGTTTGAGGTTCTTCATCCTGTACTCAGATGGCTTAGGAAAGACTGGAAGTGGGCAGCCAGTCTGGAGGCATCCATCCGAGGGCCTAGTGTGGCTGCGGGGTCAGGTTTGTGGTGAGGCATCCCCATTTCTCTCAGGCAATGTGGCGGCAGGGTCCGCCCACAGCATCTGTGCATCTTCCAGGGGCAGGCCTCCTCTGGGGTGGGCCGAGGTCTGGGTGCTCACAGCTGTCCAGGGCGAGGGGAACCACGAGGAAATAGAATTAAAAAGTAGTGCCATGGTTTTCCCCTGAAGGCTGCATGAGAAACCAGGGGTCACAGGTCTTGGATCTTTCATTTTACAAATTAGGAGGGTGAAGGAGTGTCACCCAGACACTGGACTCGGGGGTTGAGAGCATTGCGGGGACTGTGGACTCCTGCGTCCTGGTTCCACCTGGCTTGGCGCTGAGCTGGGGAGGTGGCTAAACCGCCTGCAGCACCTGTGTCTGTCCTGTGTCCTGATTTCACCACGTTACCCTGGGGGTTGCTTTGTCACTGTCCTTTGTGAGGACCCATCAGGCTTTGGTAGCGGCTGCTATTCCTGCTTGCTCTCCACTTCTCTCGCTTTTCCATCACGGCTGTCGTATGGGAGACCTTGGACTTGCTGTAGCAGAGCCAGCTTAGTTGAATCCTTCTACTTCTGTTGTAAAGAGAAGGTGCTCGTGAGCTCCTGGGGTGGATCTCATGAGGGTAGTTTTCCTACAGCGTCTGTGCATCCTTCTGGGGGTGGGGGAGGGCGGGGGCGAGGCCTGGGTGCTCACAGCTGTCCAGGGCGAGGGGAACCACAAGGAAATAGAATTAAAAAGTAGTGCCATGGTTTTCCCCTGAAGGCTGCATGAGAAACCAGGGGTCACAGGTTGAGGGATGAAGGGCAGGCCGCCAGCAAAGATGCAGGAGACAGTGGGGCGGTGGCTTGGGGAGCAATGTGTGTCCCCAAGCCATTGTGTGGTCATTGCTTCCTGTGTCCCATGTGCATAGGGGCCTCTTCCGGGCTCCTGGCGTCCAGCTCAGAGAGGGAGCCTCCTTGCTGCTGTGTACGCATGTAGGTGTTACAGAAAGAGCCCCCTGGGTGACTCCCTCTCCAGTATAGCACAGACACTTGAAGCATGTGTCCCTACCCCCCCACCCCCGCCCCTGCACTCTCCCACATCAGGCAGGTCCCTCTCGGCGGGGAATCCCGGGCACTGTCACAGGCAGACCAGCATCCCTGGCCCCACCCCTTCCATGCCAGGAGCACCCAGAATGTCTGCAGATGTCCCCAGGCTTTGTACAGTGTCCTGGGTTAGGGGATCTCATTGAAAGTCATATCTAGAGTAAAAATGATAGGTTTGGGAGAGTCCGGTCTCACTGAAAAACTGCCAAGCAGGTTCTCATTAGGCATCTAATAACATGCTACTTACATCTTTGAAGGTGTTGGAAACTGTAGGGGCAGGTGCTGGGCAGTGTCCTCTTCTGCCAGCCTGAGAGCAGGGGGCCCTTTCCTCTGCTGGGTGGCCCCCATGACCGTCCCGAGATGGGGGCCCCCTCCAGCCAGGGAAGGAAGAACCCCGTAAGGCCCATGCACCACTGCCCTAGGGCAGTAGGCCCAGCCCACTGGGTGGGGAGTCAGGGCCGGCCTGGGTCCTGACTGCAGGGCTTCATGAAGGCTGTGCAGAGCCCCTTTTCTCACCTAACACCTGCTGGGCACACCGTTGACCCTGAGTTTGACCTGTGATCCATGGTCTCTGCAGGCTGCCCTGAGATACATGATCATACATGATCTGGCCACGTAGCCAGACTGCTTCAGCCCCAGACTCTTGGCTCAGCCTTGCTGTGACGTGTGACCTCTTTCTTCTCACCAGGGGAGAGCTGGCTCTGCCTGTCCATGAGCCGTCCCCCCCCCCCCCCAAGAGCCCCGCCAGGCCCCTGTGGCTTGTTCTGAGCTCCATAGTGACCGGCGCCTTTCCTTTGCCTTTTCAGCTTCGAAAGCATGCAGAGGCTCTGTGACAAATACAACCGTGCCATCGACAGCATCCACCAGCTGGTAGGTGGCCTCTGTCCTCCCCTCATGCCCCTCTGCTTGTCGGGGGCATGTGCTGGAGTGCTCAGCCCAGCTGCCCATCACGTTTCCTGGGTGGTTTTAATGACACGCCTCACAGACCCCTGCTGACCACCCCGGAGTGTGGGGGTTCACACTGTGGCGTGGGGCCGGGTACTGCTGACCACCAGTGGGAGGCACCTGGGGTGCTGCTGTTGGGAGCAGGCTGGGGGTGGGGTGCATTCTCAGCCCCTGTCCCCAGCATGCTGGGTGGGCATCCCCAGGGCCTCGAGTGCATATGTACCTTCACATCGGTGCCCCGTCCCCACAGGCTGAGACAGGTGGGGTGCGGTCAGGAGCCTGCCCGGGGCTTCTCCTGTCCCTCAGCCAGTTGTGTTAGGAGTGTTTTCTTGCCTTCCCTTTCGGACATTCTGATTATGGGGAGGCCTCGTGCTCTGTCCTCACCTCTCTCTCTGCCGTGCTGGGGTCTAGGGAGCCTTCGCTTAGCAAAGAACAGACAGCCAGGTTAGGCCCCGCCCCAAAAGTGGTTCTAGTGAGTGTGTCACTCCTGTTCCCAAGGACGTTTCACTGTCTAGGCAGCATGGGCTCCTGGTGAGGGGGCGGTTCTCTGGCAGGAGCCTTGCTGTCAGGGGAGCTATGGCAGGGTGTTGGGCCGTGCAGCACCGAGGACCTGGCAGTCATCCCCATCACTGTTACTGATGAGAGGGGAGAGGGATGCTGAGTCAGACGAGCATGTCTGGGCCTCCTGTGCCAGAGACCGGGGTTCACAGAAGTTCTGGGTGTCAGCTGTGTGGGCCCCCACCCACTGCCTTGGTCCAGAGCCCTCCCCTTGGTTTTGTCCTGGGCAGAAGGTGGGGCCTGGGGCTGACCTGGGCCGCTCAAAGTGGGCAGCCGCTACTCACCTGCACGGCGGAGGACTGGCTCTAGGCTGGGAGGGCCCTTGGGAGCCATCGGTGCTGCCGTCACAGGCTGCAGGTGGCCGAAGGACGGCTGCCGGGAGTCTAAAGGGGGCAGATTGAAAGGTTAGGGCACCAGGCCTCAGAGGCGCCCCAGGGCCGAGTCCCTCCTCGGGCCTGTATGAGCTGAACAGGGTGTGGGCCTGGGCCGTCACTTATGTGACATGTGCTGGTGTTTTGTCTAATGTCCTAGTGGAAGGGGACCACTCAGCCCATGAAACTGAACACTCGGCCGTCCAACGGGCTCCTGAGGCATATCCTGCAGCAGGTGTACAACCACTCGGTGACGGACCCCGAGAAGCTCAACAACTATGAGCCCTTCTCCCCGGAGGTGTACGGGGAGACCTCCTTTGACTTGGTTGCACAGATGATCGACGAGATCAAGATGACCGAGGATGACCTGTTTGTGGACCTGGGCAGTGGTGAGTGTGAGCAGTCGTGCTGTAAGCACCGCCAGGCTACCGGGCCCCCGGAGATGGAAGGGACAGCTTGGTCACCACCCTGTGTTGCCCACAGCTCCTCACGGGGAGTCGCCCCTCCGTGCAGCAAGCCAGTGCTCTGTGCAGAGGAGAGGCCAGTTCCTCCTGCTCCCAAGGGCCCCTCCCTGTCTCTCACCCCTACTCATATTGTGGGACTTGTTCTTGGCTCAGAGGGGATGCCAGTGAGCATCTCAGACCAGCCCCCCATGTTGCTGGGAGCCTTCGCCCCTCCTGCACACTCCCCGGCTCTCACCAGTCGCCCCCTCCTTTGTGTATGGGTGGTCCTCCGGCACCAGCATCTCCCGTCTCCTGAGGGCAGGGGCCTGGCCTCGGCCTAGCCTCGCAGGTGTCTGCACGATCAACTATAAGCTTTACTGAACAAACACCTCGGCTTGGTTGATTCCCAGTGGGACGTGCTGAGCTGACAGGGCTGACATGGGAACCCTGTGCACAGCCCTCCCCTGGGGCAGCTCTGCCACCTGGATGTGACCTTGGTTGACACAGAGCCTTGTGCTGCAGATTCAAAGTCCCGTCTGAAACCGGCCCGGCCTCGGTGCTTGGAAAAGGGCCAGCACACCGGATGAGGACTTTTTTGATGTCATCATTAGTTTGAGCCTTTCTAATTTAATTTAAATTCACATTTTAATAAATGTGTATATTTCGGGGGTGCCTCGGTGGTTCAGTTGGTGGAGGGTTGGACTCTTGGTTTTGGCTCAGGGTCGTGAGATTGAGCCATGTGTCAGGCTCTGCACTTAGCAGAGAATCTGCTTGGGATTCTTTCTCTCTCTCTGAAAAAAAAAAAAATTCATGTGCTTCAAAAATCAGTTATCTAAAAGACCATGTAACTTATCTGTACTAAAAGATTTAGGAGCAGCCCAGGTGGCTCAGCGGTTTAGCGCTGCCTGCAGCCCAGGGCCTGATCCTGGAGACCCGGGATCGAGTCCCACATCGGGCTCCCTGCATGGAGCCTGCTTCTCCCTCTGCCTGTGTCTCTGCCTCTCTCTGTGTGTGTGTCTCATGAATAAATAAGTAAATCTTAAAAAAAAAAAATTTTTAGGAATCTTGAAAAGTACCCACCCAGCTTCTCATACCCAGCTCTTAACACCCTCCACATCGCTGTCCGTGACCCTTACATCCTCTTGCTATGGGCCTTGGCATTTACTCTGTGTTTCTAAATAGTGGGACTATTCTTTCTTCTCTTTTCTTCTTCTTTTCTTCTTTTCTTTCTTTCTTTCTTTCTTTCTTTCTTTCTTTCTTTCTTTCTTTCTTTCTTTCTTTTTCTTTTCTTTCTTCTCTTTCTTCTCTTTCCTTCCTTCCTCCCTCCCTCCCCCCCCCTTTCTTGCTTTCTTTCTTAAGATATTTTTTTATTCATTTAAGTAATTTCTATCCCCAGTGGGGGGCTTGAACTCACAACCCTGAAATTGAGAGTTTTGTACTCCAGGCAAGCCAGCCGAACACCCTGGTGTGCTTACTTTTATTGTTTGAGTATATTCTATTCAAAGTGTGAACTCAAAGGTTCCTGGAACGTATCTGAGAGGCACAACTGTGGAAGGAGCTTCCTGGTGCACATGGTGTCGCAGCGGCGCTGGAGCACCTGTAGACTGCCCCTCGTGACGCTGACAGCTGGGTGTATTGGTGTGTTGGGCCTGCTCGTTGGGCTGCCCAGTGATGCCACCAGATGACAGTGGTTTGGAGACCCTGTTTCTGTGTGCAGGGGGCTTCTCCTGCAACCTCCAATCCCGCATCAAACCCCAGTCAATGCTGAGCATTGACAGGTATTCTCAGGGTGATTTCAGATTTGGCCAGCTGTGCCGCACCGCGGTGGTAACGCGGGAGCCTTCCAGAGGTGTTACTGAGTCTCGTGGAGCTGTGTCTGCACAGTTGATGCCATGTAGGTCTTGTAGACAGAGAGCAGATTCCCACTGCAGGAGCCCTGGAGTGTTGTCTGCACGAGGCAGTGTAAGCCAGATGGCCATCCCCTGGAGGGGGCTCAGCTCACCAGCCTGTCCTCACTGACCTTAGGGAGTGCTTGGCACCTTCTTGGAGAGCCAGGAGCCTCTGTCCATTGGCCCCCATGGCCAGCACCCGCCTGGCTGGGGCCTTGACTCTGCATAGGTGGCGCCTCTGTGTTAGGGGGTACGTCTGACAGTACCTCTCTCTCTCTGAAGGAGTGGGCCAGGTTGTGCTGCAGGTCGCCGCGGCCACCAACTGCAAACATCACTATGGCGTGGAGAAAGCTGACATCCCAGCCAAGTACGCGGAGGTGAGTGACTCTGGAGTGGGACACGTGTGTGTGCATGTGTGTGTGTCTGTAATTTTGAACCTTGTTTGCCATGACCCATGGGGCGTTGGGAGGGAAGACAGAACGAGGTGGGCGCTCTGGGGGCTGCTGGGTCTCCGCATGCACATCTGGGCCCCACTGCGTTTGCTGCCAGCAAGGACTACAGCCTCGTCTCCCTCAGGCTGGGCCTGTCTCCTCCAGACGCACCGTGGTCAGCAGGCATCACCGCTCGGCCTGTCTGCCTGGGGTGGGGTCCGTGAGGTCTGTAGGGGGTAGATGCGTCTCCAGAAAGGCCTCCAGAGCATGTGACCCACACTTCTGGTGGACTCTCAGGTGCCACGGTGTGTCCTCCCCTGCGACCCCTAGACTTATCTGGGGCTTCTCAAAAGGCTTGTGTTGAGGGCTGGTAGGTGGGCAGCCCCAGCTTGTCCCAGGGTGGGGGCAGGAAGGGGCTGAGGGGAGGCGCTGACGGGCTGTCGGATCATTCCCTTGCAGACCATGGACCGAGAGTTCAGGAAGTGGATGAAATGGTATGGAAAAAAGCATGCAGAATACACAGTGAGTGCCATCGCTCCATGCCCCTGCGGCTAACGATCCAGCTCCATTTCTGTGCCTCCTCCTCCCCTGACCCGCCGTTCTTCTTCGCTCCTGGGGACGCCCTCCCTGCGTGGAGCGCGGTGTGCACGGCCGAGCTGGGCGTGCAGTGCTGTTGGGGGAAGGCCCGCTCGGCATCAGCAATACCCTCTTCTCTTCCTGCCTCTTCCACCCTTTCTGGGCCTCCTGGGGGGGGGCTACAGCTGCTCCTACCCCGCACTCTCTGACAACAGAGGTGGCACATGGCGGTGCCCCTCTCTCCCAGCCCTCAGCCGCACCAAGGCAATCGTGTGCAGCGTGTCTCCAGGCACCTGGTGGGTCTCAGGGAGCCCTCTTTCCATGTCGTGCATGCGTGTGTTGTGGCAGCAGCGCAGGGCTGGGCAGTGGGATATGGACAAGGAGGCCTCTTCCCTTGTCCGCTGGACAGCTCAGTAGCATCTTCTTCTTGCCTTCCTGGCAGCATGCAACCTTGAGCGTGAGTCCCTCCTGGCCAGGCTCAGGTTTGGGGCGGCACACACCCCCAACTCTCCTGGCTGCTGCTGCGCCTCAGCCTCCATTGCTCGGCCCAGCTTTGCGATGCCCATGTTCCTTGGCCGAACAGTGTTCCAGACCCCTGGCCTCCTGTCCAGGGCATCTGGGTCACGGCCTGAAACGTGTCTGGGCCCAAGCCTCATCCCTTCCTCTCTGTTGCTGTGGATACACTGTGGCCGTACAGCCTGCACCCACTTGGCCACTGCAGGGACACCCAGACAGAGTGTGTCCAGACCAGATCTTTAACTCATCCTTCTCTCCCCATCTCAGGTCATTACCTGCACATACCCAGAGCTCGAGGCCCAAACCACTGAGATTCCACTTGGTTCCACGGCCAGCCCTGTTGCTCCTCCTTCCTGGAGATGTGTTACAAGCGTTCACCTCTTGTACTCTCCGTTGTCACCAGCCCAGAGCAAGGCATCGCGTGGGGCGTTGACTGTTGAGCTGGAACCGATGTTCCTTGTTGCGTTAGGGGACTAGAATAAAGCCTGTGATCACAGGCTGGGGGTTGGTTGGGGTGTGGGGAAAAAGGGAGAGGGCAGGTTTCCCCTTCTTCAGGACAGCCGTGATGGCTACTGCTTGCACAAATGTAGTGTTTGAAAGTCATCGCCAAGGCCGACGTCACCCGCACTTGTTCCCTGGTGTCTTCTGGGAGTCGTACAGCTCTGTTTCGTGTGTGGGGCTGGGAGGCTGTAGGGTTGGCCCCTGGATCCTTCTGTCTGCACGTGGAGGCCTAGCTGTTTGTGCCCCGTGAGTGCAGCCCTGCCCTTGCCCTGCTGCCCAGCCTTTGCTCTCTGTTCACTCCCTCAGCAGCCCAAACTGCCTACCGTGGCTCTGGAGCGAGTCTTCACTCGGGCAGCGTCCGCCCGTCCTCTGGCCTGGGTCTTCTCCTTCCACGTGGTGCTGGCTGCTCTGGGGCCTTCACCTCCCCAGATAAACTGTAGAGTCAGTTTGTGGGTATCCATCTCAGAGCACACAGGGATTGGGGTCGGGATGGCATTGAATCTGCACGTCCGCTTGGGAAGAACTGACTCCTGGACAGTACCTCGTCTTCCTGCCGTTGGACGTGGCCTGCCTCGCTTTGTAGTCTGTCACTGGTTTCATTCATCTAAGTTTGGTGTTTTGTCTCCTGTAGATCTTGTACGTGTTTTGCTGGATTTATACCTAAGTCTGTCAGTGTGTCTGTCTGTCTTGGTGCTTGTATAAACGATACTTTTTTATTTCAAATTGCACTTGTCCGTTGCTGATGTACAGGAAAGCAGTTGGCTTCTGTACATTGCATGGTAACAGACGGTAACACCTTTACCCCATAACGTTGCTGTAATGGCTTATTAGATGAAGGTTGGTTTGTTTTTCTGGATTCTTTCAAAGTTTGTATATTGATGATCATGTCATCTGTGCACAGAGGCAGTTTTACGTCTTCCTTCCCAATCTGCGTATGTTTTATTTTTCTTGTTTCACTGCATAGCCAGTGTAACAGCAGGTATGTACAGCGTGCTGCCAAAAAGCAGCGGTGCAAGGGGCGCCGTGGCCTTGTTCCTGATCTTACCAGGAAAGCTTCCACTTTCTAACCACGGAGGTGATGTGAGTTTGTAGGTATTTTGTGGGTGTTCTTAATCAGGTTGACACAACCCCTTCTTAATTTGCTGAGAATCTTCATTACGAATGGGCGTTGGACTTTGTTAAATGCTTTTTCTGAGTGTGTTGACGCAATCCTGTCTGTGATCTTTCTTCGGCCTGTTGATATGGTGAGCATTGGGTGTCCAGCCGGCCTTGCGTGCTGGGTCAGTCCCACCCAGTCGTGGTGCATGGTGGTTTTCACCTGTGTTGTTGAGACTGCGTCCGCGTCCACGAGAGATCCTGGCCTGTAGTCTGTCCTGTAACGTCCTTGGGTGTCCCTTTGCTTCTGTTCTGCTCTTCTGGGGCCAGGACTTGGATATCCAGACTGGGGCCCGGCTTCTCCTCTTTGTCTCCTGGGGCAGTTTCCTCTGGAATTCTCTGCCTTGCGTGAAAGGCGAGAGGTCTGGCCTTTGTGCTCTCCTGTGCCCCCACGTCTGAGGCTCCCTGATGTCTGCTGTTCAGGCTGCGTGTGCAGGAAGCTCAGTTGGCCTCCATTTCCAGGGAGTTGCTTCCCGCATTTTCCTGAGAGTCCATGACTTCCTGAAATGGAGGTTTCCCCATCTTAAACTACTTCTTGTTTCTGATGAGAAGGCCAAACAGCCACCAGCCCTCAGTGTAAAAGTTGTGCCACATTTCTCAGAAATGGCCGTTGGTACTCCAGGCAGGGCTTCCAGGACTTTGTTCGTAGCTGGTTTTAGCTTCAGGCATGCTCCTCACGGCTGGGGCAAGGGGCAGGGGTAAGGCCTTGGACGGCCACCTCTCCTTCCGCCGTCCTCCTTCCTTCTCTTGTCTCCGTCTGGGGTGAGTGGCACATCAGGGCTTCGTGGTGTGGTGGTTGGCACACGGGCCTCCCCATGTGGAAACCGTCTCATCCCTTAGGTCTCGTGTGGTGTAGATTGTTCGCTAGCCCTGCCGTGGCCCCTGTGAGGTGGCTGGGAATAGAATTTGGCTCGAAGGACACTTGGGCACGATCTTGGCAGTGGGTGTGTGGAAAAAGCTGGCCGCAGGACAGGCAACCACCGTGCCTTTGCTGCTCTGTTGCCTGTTTCCAGAGGGCGTCCTGTCTCGAGCAGCCCGGCTCCGGGGGGCGTGGGGAGCATGTGCTGACTGCTGAATACCCAAATTTGGCGGGAACTTATGTCTTAGGTCTTGTGAGGCCTTCCCCCAGCTTTCTGTGGCTTTGACCAGGCGTCCCCGTTGGCGGACAGAGTCCTGCTCCTGTTACTTAAGAATCTAAGAGGAAACAGAGCCAAGAGGAGTCTAAAAATAGCCCAGTGTGTGCTTCCAGGCCTAGAGCCTGCTGCTGCAGGCCAAGGGTTCCCGTGTGGCCGCCGCCTCCTCTGTCCCCCAACCCCCCACTCCCCCTGCCTTTGCAGAGGCGCCGCCCAGCCAATGTCCCCTGCCAGCCTCGGCCTCCACCTCCCCGTCCTGCAGTGCAGTGGTGCCTGGGAGCCAGCCCTTCTTGCCCGCGCACAGGCCTTCTCCTGTCACAGCCCCCATTCCCTCCTTCTGCATGGCTTCTGCCTGCAGGCCTGTGTCACCTCAGGGTGCTGCCTCTACCTGGGAGACTCTCTGTCCAGCTCCCTGCCCAGGCTGGCATCCAGGCCCCCCTGAGCCCCATAACACGGTAACCGTGCTGTTGACAATGAGCCCCATATGCTGCGGCGCCTGGCAGTGGGCCTGGTATACAGCAGGTCTCGCACATTGAGAGTCTGTTACTTTGGGCAGCTGTGGCCTCAAGGAGGGGGGCGTACTAGGGTGTCTGTGGACTGGCCTGTGCTGAGGCACTTCCTGTACTCATGGTCCGGTGACTCTCTATCCTGGGCCGTGGGGGGCCTCCCTCTGGGCACCTGCCACCCCTCCAGGTTTGGCCACGTCAGGATGGCATCTGTGTGGCCCTCGGGGTGCCTGGGCCATGTCATCTGGGGCACCATGCATCTCAGAAGCACTGGCCCACCTCCCCTCTGGTCTCGGTTGGAGTTGGATCTCTGGGAGGCGGGTGCTGCCAAGAGACAGGGTCTGGTGGTTCGACTGAGCTTCCCTGCGTCTGTGGATTTGCAGCATCTACTGGCACGTTAGCTGAGTAGCAGGACTGCCCATGGGTGGCTCTTGCCCCCCTGATTTTGGGTGGGGCTGACCTCAGTCTCTTTATTCTTGGAAGCTGTGCTCTTTTCCCTACCAGAGAGTGTGTGTGTTCCATGCAGGCATGGACACAGCTTCCAGGACCCTGTTGTGGGACTGCGGTGGCTGGGGTGTGTGGCTGCACACACTCCCACACTCCACCTGTGTCCTGCCCTAGCCCTGCCTGTTGGCCCAAGGCCTCAAGTGGACCAGTGGTGCCTGTGGAACAGGAGGTGGGGGACTGAAGCCCTCTGCACCTGTGTGTGCCAGAGCCCTCTCCTACTTGGAGGGCCCAGTGGTGCTGGGGCCAGGCATGGGGTCCCTGGGCAGGGGCACAGGAAGGCCACACACCTTTCTCTGGCCACTGTTAACTCGGGTGCCCCAGCCAGCCAGTCCCTCCTGGAGGATCATGGGCAGCCCATGCCCAGAGCAGAACTGCAGCGGGACATGGCGGGCAGTGCCTAGGACGGGGCTGTTCTCTTGCCTCGGCACAGCAGTGCTGCCGTGGCCTGACAGCACGGCCTAGAGGGGGGCCCCCAGGAAAGGGGAGCCATGTGGACAAGTGCCTGAAGGCCCCGAGTTAGGCCCCAGGACCGGCCCCAGGTGCGGGACGTGCCGGGGGCCCAGGGCTCAGCACACACTCAGCCCTGTGGCCCTGCCTTACACGGAGAGGATGTGAGCTCCGTGTACATGAGCTCAGGGCAGAGGCCTGGGGGGTGGGGCGGGGACACCAGGCTCGAGCTCCCAGGGTCCTCCCCTGGGTGACCCACATGACACGCTCAGTTCCCCCAACACGAGCCGTGAGTATGTGCGCAAGGTGTGGTCTCGGGGCTGGCAGAGACCCGGCGCCCAGCTTCTCCATTGGGGTCGTTCTCATGGGGCCCTCTGCCCGGCTCGCCCGGGACCCCAGGCTTAGGAGGGCAGCAGGTGCTCAGCACAAACCCCGTGTCTGCACAGACGGCTCAGCCTGCGAGGTGGCGGGAGCTGGGCGTCTGGTTCCAGACGCGGCAGAGGGCGTCTGGGGAGGGGTCTCAGGGCCGCCGTGCCAGTGCTCTCTTGCACAGCACCAGTAAAATTGGATTTGAGTCCCTACTGAGGCCTAGCAGGGCTGTCTTGGGGAGAGTGGCAGGTTCAGAAAGCTCCACAAGTGGGGAGAGTGTTTAGGGATAACGACAGCTAGGGTGTGGGCAGCACCCCCGGTGCCTGAGCACATTCGGGTGGGCTGCGCCATCCCCCGATCCCCCTGCACCCTAGGTGGGATCTGTACATGGGCTGGAGGGCGTAGGATTGGCAGCTGCTTCTGCCCTGGCGCACAGCCTCTGCACTGGGGCGCAGTGCTTATAGGCCCGTCTCTGCTCGGTCTTTCTTCGGCCCCTTTCTGAGTGACAGCAGGTCCACCGCCCCAGTGGGTGCCTGCTGTCTTCGTGAGGAGAGTGGGCCTTCCTGGTCACCCTGCCCCCTCCCCCCGACCCACCTAACCCTCTCCCCGTCTGTGGACGAGCCCGTCCTGGACGTGTCACACCCCATGGGACCTCCTGTGTCTGGTTCCCTCCCTGAGCTTCATGGGCTGGGGGTCTGTCCCCGGGGCAGCGTGTGGGGGCCTCACTCCTGCTTGACGCTGGGGGGCGTGCCTGTGCATAGTGGACACGCTGATGGAAGTTTTGGGTTGTTTCCATTGTTTGGCTCTTCTGAATTGTGCTGCCAGGACTGGGCGTGCACAGGTTTGTGGGGATGTATACTCTTGCTTCTCTCTGGCGTATGCTGAGCATTTTTAAAGAATAATAAAATTAGACTTCAACTTTTTGGTTCACTGAGTGCCACAGCTCTGGACACCTTAGTCAGTAAGAACTGGGTGCTCCGGGCGTCACAGTGCTGGTGTGCTGGGATGCGCGGCGTGGAGAGCAGGCGTTGAAGAGCGAGCCAGCCCCCAGGAGGCTGGTGCTGCGGGGGGTCAGAGAGCAAGCCTTGGCCTCACCGTGTGTGGTGCCGGGGCGCCCGGGACAGTGCTCTGTGGCCTGAGCGCCTCCCGAATCACGACAGCTCTTCTGTGTGCTGCCCTGGCCTGCCAGCCCGCCTCTGTCCGGCCTACAGCTGGCTGAGAACCATGCGTGGCCGTGCCCCGAGCTCGCCCCCACCTGGCTCTGTGTGACTCTGCAGCGCATCCTGTGGCGTGGCTGGAACCTCCCTTCCCGCTCGGGGTCGCTGCCCAGTGACTGCCATGAGCGGGGCCCTCACCCTGGAGCCGCCGCCACCTTGGGCCACCTTGGTCGTATGTCCTCCCCACCTCAGTGACTGCGCTCATTTCATCTTCTCTCCGCGGGCAGGTGGGCGGGCAGGGTGCGAGGCCGGGCGAGGCCTCCTGAGTCAGCCTCCCTCCTGTTCTCTTCCTTTCAGCTGGAAAGAGGCGACTTCCTCTCAGAAGAGTGGAGAGAGCGGATTGCCAACACAAGGTAGGGCTTGGCCGGGCAGGCACCCCTGGGGAGGGTGCGAGGCCGCGGGGTGCACTGCGGTTCACACAGGAGAGGAGGCTGGTGGAGGCTGGTGGGGTCCTTGTCTCCCTGTCCCTCGCCTGCAGCAGAGCAGGTGGTCCAGGGGTTGGTCCCAGGGCCCCAGGGCAGGGCCAGGTGTGGCTTGAGGCTCACACGTGCCAGTCCCCCGGCTGCCCGTCTAGGAGGGCGCTTCCCTACTATCTGGGCCTTGTGCTCAGCGTGCGGGTTCTTGCTGTGTCTATGCCTCTCCCGGCGGGGTGCAGGGGCAGGGCTCTTTCTCTGCACCCGGCGGTAGAGTGGTGTCCTGTCCCGTGCATCTGGGGTGCTGCGGCGCTGCCCACACCTTCCTATGGACCTGCTGTGGGCCTGAAGCTGGTCTGCAGCCCTTCCCCTGGCCTTGGGCTGGGGGTGCCGCAGTGAGGCCATGGGCTGGGACATCAGCTGAGATGCTGGAAGCCCGGGGACCCAAGAGGTATTCCACGCCCCAGAGCCATTTTCCTGGGCAGAAGTCTGCTCTGCCAACTGTGGCTCACTGTTTTGCGGGGATCTTGCCATCTGTCCTCTCCCTGTCTGTCCTTCAGGTGTACTTACTTATCTCCTGCTGCCCCGTAGTTCCCACCTGTCTACTGACAGGGAGAGCTGTGCGCTATTCTTTCCAGAGCATCTTCCTTTGTGGCTCTCCCATGAGAAGTCTTCATCTGAATTGGGTCCAGTTTGCTCTCCCTTGCTCACCATGTCTTCCTCTTTTTCCCGAGAGTCTCCTGCTCACCCCGTGGGCATTCCTGTCAGTGGGGAGGAACCCCCACCCTCATTGGCCAGCAGCATCCAGGCCGAGGTGTCACATCTTGTGGTCACCCTGGCAACATGAGAGCTCAAGGAACATGCACTGTCCCCCAGGCCCCTTTTCGTGCAGGCAGAGTGGAAACAGGTCTTGGTAACTGGAGAGTGTCCCCCTGACGTCCCCCTGGGTGCTCTGCTTCCTAGCAGGGGTGTACTTTCTCTTCCCCTACCAGCCCTTCTTGCTGGGGACATTTGCCTCTGCTGCTGGTTTCTCGTGAATGAGATGTGGGGGGGCAGCTGCCTCTGGAGCACCCTTCTTCCATCAGAGCCGTCCTTGGGGCCTTGGCTGGCACACGCCCTGTCATGGCCTCTGCCATCTTGAGCCTTTGGTGTCCAGCCTTCCCAGGCTCCGTCCCTGAGTAGGTACTGGGACAGGCCAGCCTCACTCCCTGTCGGAGCGTGTCCCAGCCTAGAGTCCCCTGTCCTTGTCTTTGCTGCGCGGTGGCGCAGGGAGAGCATGCTGGGCTTGATCCACGTCTTCAGCATTTCTTCCCCGCCGCTCTGCCCGCTGCCATCCGGTGTCTGCTCCAGCTCTGGTCAGGTCTTCTGTGACTGTTCTTCACCCTGTTGCTGTGATGGTTTCCAGGCGTCTCGATTTTAAACTGTCGAGACTCAAAACAAGCAGCGAGGGGATGGCCATCAGCCTACTCTGTCTTCTGTCATTTGCAAAAGACGAAGTAAAGGTCCTGGGTGCAGTTCTGCCCTCTGCGGCACAGTTTTCGCTGCTGCGCGGTTTTTATCTGGAGGCAGACGCTTCATGAGGGAGGGCACAGCCTCTGCCCAAGTGGGGAGCTGCTTACCCGTGGGAGCTGCTTACCCGTGGGACTCGAGAGGAGCGGTGGCACAGCTGCTAGTAGAGCGTAGCCACCCCGAGGGCAGTGCCTCCCTGGCCACCCAGGTTGGTGTGTTCAAACTCCGGTGCCAGAGAGAGCCAGAGAGAGTGGGAGGGAGGAAGGACGGGGCGAGCCACACCTCCCCTGGCAGGGCTCTGCCTCTGGTCCTGCCTGTCCTCAGGCGGCTCACTTTCAAGTGTGGCCTCCGTCCCTGCTGCCTTCCTGCCTAGGTGTCCTCATCCCTGTGTCCCCGGGTGATGTTTGAGCTGTCCGTGTTTCCACCCCAGGGACGTCCCAGGGGCAGCCGTCATGCCCTGTGGGCCTGGGTCCCGTCCCCGGGCTGGGGGAGCTGGCGGTGGAGGCGGTAGACGTGGCGTGCACTGGGACTCTGCATGTGTGCAAATGGAACCTTCGTTTTACTCAACTGGAATATTATTTTGCAGTGTTATATTTGTGAATAATTTTGCCTTTGGTCCTGAGGTGGATCACCAGCTGAAGGAGCGGTTTGCGAACATGAAGGAAGGTAACGTACTTCCCCTTAAACCTGCCCTGTCTCAGTGACGGGAGCTGCCCCGGGCCCAGGGATCGCGGGGTGGGTGGCCAGACTGACAAGCGGGTTTCAGGCTCTGCAGTCACACTCAGGTTTCCTGCAGGCAGCAAGGAGCTTGTCAGGATAAGGGTGTTCTCGGTACAAGCTTATGCTGGAGGGTGACTCAACTGTGACCTGAGATGCAAACTCGACTGGCACCCGTTTTGTCTGGTGACCCTAACCTAGGGGCCTCTTAGGCTTTTTCTGGGTTTTTCCCACATGTGGGCCCATATCCCCTGGCCAGAGCCACCCCTTCTGCCATCCTCTGCCTTCCCATCCCTGCCGTGAGTGAGTCCCGGACTTGCCACAGAGCTGCTGGGCACAGCAGAGGGGCAGGGTGCCAAAGGAGCTCGAAAGCCCATGCTCTGGTTCTCCAGCCAGGCTGCTTCCCTGAGAGTCAGTTGGCATTTAGGTAGGATTGAGTTTTCCTTGTGCTTGTGGAGGTTTCTGGATTTGGAATTGTGTGGGTGGTGTTGTGGAGTGAGGTCCTCTTCTGAGTCTGACCTGAACCTTCTAGGTAGAAGTTTGTTTTCTGAATTTTAGCAAGCTGAGTCTAGAGGCCAGTGTGCTGGGGTACAGTCTGGCCAGCAGGGTAGTCCTCCCCGGGGAGCACTCCGCTGTCCCTGGCTGCTCCCACGGCCCGTGGTGTACCTGAGAATGGTCACCCTGAGTGGTAGCCTTGAGACTCCCTCTGCACCTGAGGGGCGTGTACTGTGGGGCCACGTGCCCTGCTCCCACAGTCTCCCCGCAGAGCCTGGACGGGGGGGGGCTCCCTCGTGCTCCATCTTAGCTGCCAGGAGTGGGGGATCAGGGCCAGGTACCAGGCAGCGCAGGTTAGGTGTCTTCTGTCCCTTTGCTGTGCCAGAAACCCTCGTGCATTTGGGATGTCAGCCAGATGAGATTGTCTAGTCTAGAACTTTCTAAGTAGGTGAGAGTGAACTAGTTTCATTTGAACACCAATTCAGGCCTTTGTAACTGCCACTGGATTGCAGTGTGTGTGCTCAGACTCCAAGCACAGGACGGAAAACTCAGCGAGCTCCTGGAGGGAAGATAGAAACACCTGTACCTTCTTCCGGGTGCAGGTCACTCTGGGCACCATCTGGAGCGCATGGGCCTCCGTGGGTCCTCCCGTCTGTCTCCCGTGGGTGAGGGCCGTGTCGCCTGGTTGTCCGCCACCCTCATGCCTATTGCTGTGTGTCTTCACTGAGCCAAGTGTCCAGGGTTCCTGGCTGCTGCATTTTTCGTTTCTCCATGCGAAGAAAGTCTTGGGAGATTTTCTGGCCTAGCTTGGAAACACTCTGAATCCAAAGTCCTTGGTCATCGCCCACTGTTTGAGGAGAGAGAGGAATCCACTGCTTGCAGGCACAGGCTTCCAGCCGAGTGCTCGGACCCCGGTCATGGACTCCCTCACAAACTCTGAGGATCAGCAGCAGCCAGGCTCTGTGGAGTGGCAGGGGCTGCTGCTGTTCTCATCGGGGCTCTGACCTCGGGTGCCCGTCCTTCTCAGGGTCCTCCTGGTGTGAACGAGCCTGGCCTCCCCGGCCCGCGGTGTGGCACGCCCTGCTGGAGGAGTGGGCCGCGGGCTGTCGCCTTAGTGTGAGGTTGTATATGCGGCTCTCATGCTGTCTGCACGCTTGGGCCCTGTGGTCAGCAGTGTCCTTCCAGGGCCTGGGCCAGAAGCCCCAGGAAGTGTCCTCATCCTCGGCCGGTCACTGCAGTTCCTAATGCAACTGCTAAAGCTGCTGCAGGTTTTCTAGATTCTGAGATGGCTTCAACATGACCTTGGCACTTCCAACTTGGGAGAAGCCTGTGTACATAGCACCTTCCCTGCCCCGTCCCAGCTGCCTCTTGTCACTAGTCCTAGGAAGGCCCTGCGTGCTCTCCTCATCTGTGTTCCTAGGAGAGAGGAACAGGATGTGTCCCCCCACGTCTCATTACAAAACATTTCAAGGGGGGACACCTGGGTGGTTCAGGGGTTGAGCGTCTGCCTTCGGCTTGGGGTCTGATCCTGGAGTCTTGGAATCGAGTCCCGCATCGGGCTCCCTGCAGGGAGCCTGCTTCTCTCTCGGCCTGTGTCTCTTGCTTCTCCCTGTGTCTCTGATGAATAAATAAATAAAATATTTTTAAAAATTAGAAACTTTTCAAGGAAGTGAAAGGGTCACACAGCCACAGGTGGTTTCCAGCTGCCTTCGGCACCGACAGCTGTGTGTCGTGTGCACGTGGCTCTGCATGCAGGTGATCGTACACATGCCACCCAGGTTAGTCCCGATCATTTGTAAGAGCGAGTGGTCAGTGGCTGTCCCTGGGCACTGAGCTGTGCACCCCCATCAGGGCAGAACGGAGGGCCCCTCTACCTGTCACTCTCCTGCCGCCCACCCGAGGGCCCTCCTTCTGGCTGTCTCATCCTGGGCCGGGCCAGGGGCCAGGTGGGCTTTTGCTAGAGCAGGGCTCCTCCATATTTGTTGATGGCACCTGCTGGGCATCTGGGCCATTGTCATGTGAGGTGCTGCTGCTCTGGTCTCTCCCTTGTGGTTTTCTGTGGGCAGGCTTGGGGGACCTGATGGGGTGGGACTGCCTGCGAGCCCTGCAGTCCCCAGCCACCTGACCTGGGGTCCTGTAGCGACGTGCCCTCAGGGGCCCCTCCCAGCTCCCTTGGCCCTTGCCATGTGGGCAGCACAGGGTGGTGTCTTCCTAATGGGAGCACCCAAGAGCTCAGGGTTCATCCCACTTGGCACCACACTCTTCACAGGCCCTGAGGGTTCTAAGTGTCCCATGGGACTCTGTTCAGGCTCTGGCCGCTGAGACTTTTGATGTGACCCGGCAGTCCCTGACTCTGACTCATTCCCTGGCACAAGGCTGCCACCTGACCTTGCACCTGGCCCAGTCTAGCACTGCGCCCATCATCCTCTGCTCCTGCTGGGGGTAGTTCTTAGGATGGTGGCTGGGTGTCACTGGCAGGAGTGTTTGTGCATGTGCACGTGGAAATGGATTCAAATGAACTTTGCCAACTTAAATGTAACATTATTATTATTTTCTTTGACTTTGTGGCTCTTTTCCCCTTCCTGCTGAGAACGTTGGCCTCTGTGAGCAGTGGCTGTATTTATTTACAGTGTTCTTTTTTTTTTTAATTTTTATTTACTTATTATAGTCACAGAGAGAGAGAGAGGCAGAGACACAGGCAGAGGGAGAAGCAGGCTCCATGCACCGGGAGCCCGACGTGGGACTCGATCCCCGTCTCCGGGATCGCGCCCTGGGCCAAAGGCAGGCGCCAAACCACTGCGCCACCCAGGGATCCCTATTTACAGTGTTCTTGGGGCAGATGCACTGTGAGCTCCCTGGTGAGCCTGCAGGTTCCTCTGCGCGTCTTTCTCTCCTTAGAACTCAGCCTGCAGAACCACTGTTGTCTGTGTGGCTGCCCCCATGACGCGGTCAGGTGGTGTCTGTGTCATCTGTACTGTAGGGTTTGCTTTTGCCCCTCAGACTCAGTTTTGACTGTGGGACTCGTCCACACAAGGACAGAGATGGCGGAGGGGGCGCCAGCCTTCCCAGTGTGTCCTCACCGAGGGGTGTCTGCCCCGTGCCGGCGCAACCCTGCAGGCAGCTCTGGGTCTGAGGCCAACGCTTCAGGGCCAGCCCGGGGCCCGGGGCACGTGTGGACAGGAGAGCCATCCATGGGGCACACTTGCGTGGGAAAGCAGCTCCTGGTTCTGCGGGGACTCGGTGCTGCTGCTGCCCCGCTGCTCCTGGGGCTGCCGCTTCCTCCTCCAAGCTCCACTCTCCTGCTGCTGGTGCACGTTGAGGTGTTTCCCGACGAATGGCAGTAACTAGTTTTGTGTTTCAGGCGGCAGAATTGTGTCCTCGAAGCCCTTCGCACCTCTCAACTTCCGGATAAACAGCAGAAACTTGAGCGGTAAGTGAGGCTTGTGTTGCTGAATTATTAAGACACATGATTTTAAGTACCTGACGGGCGTCAGTGTGGGTCTGTGCCCCTGGTGCTACAGACACCGGGGCAGGTCGTCCTCCGGGTGGTGGCCCCGGCCCCACCCCCTCGGTGCCAGGAGCACCCCCATGTGATAAGCACAGACGTCCCCAGACATGGTCCTGTGTCCCCTGGGGGCAGAGTGGCCCGGGACGGAGCTCAGAGGTCATGAGGACTCGGATAGCTTTACCAAGCACCCTGTGTTCCTGTTGTGACTGGCCTGAGCCCAGGAGCGGCCCTGTCCCTGCATAGGAGGGGCTTGCAGCAGGGAGCCCGGGGGCCTCAGGGCTGCTGGGAGTTCCTGTAGTCACATTGTTGTTAAGTGGTCCCTCAAGTGCTTTCCAAAGTACTTTCCAAACTGTGCTTGTCACTGTTTCCCTCGGGCAAGCACCTTGGGGTCGCTGTGAACGCCTCCCCGACCCAGAGCATGCTGGCGGCCAGGTGCCTCCGGTGGCCAGGCTGTACAGCTCTGTCCCTTCCTACCTCACTGGGACCACCTCGCCCGGGCATCCGGCAGCGTCTCGTGTGGGAGGGGGCCACCCAGAAGCTACACAGGGCCCGCTGCTCACCCCGGGCACAGGACGGGCCCTAACCACAGCCCGTTGTGTGCAGACATCGGCACCATCATGCGCGTTGTGGAGCTCTCGCCCCTGAAAGGCTCGGTGTCCTGGACGGGGAAGCCGGTCTCCTACTACCTGCACACTATCGACCGCACCATAGTGAGTGCCCCACGTCGGGGGGTCCCACAGCCGGCCCTCAGCAGGAAGGGAGTGGGTCAGGAGCTTGGGGTCCCAGGCTTGCCCTCAGCCCTTGGGCACGGCAGCCTTGTTCCAGATGGCCTGTGAAGCGGCGGCCCCGCCTTGGTATGGGGGGACGGCGCTGCGGGGTCTGCAGGGGCTCACCCCGTGGGGGCCCTGAGCAGGCGGGCGTCAGGGCAGCCGTGCGTCCCCTGCTGGGTGTCTGTCTGCTAAACTGCGCCCTGCCCCATGAGATTGTCTACTGTCAGCAGGCCCGGGCGGTTGGTTTCATCCTGACAAGGTTTGGGACTGATTTCTAATACGAATTTTTCTTTTCTCTGTTTTTTTTTATTTTCTTTTTTAGCTTGAAAACTATTTTTCTAGTCTGAAAAATCCAAAACTCAGGGTAAGTGTGTGTTTCTTCCTTGCCTTAAAGACGTGTGTTCCCTGCTTGTGGGGGGAGCCAGCTGTGAATGGCTCTGTGGATGGGAGCTGGTGTGAGTGACAGGGGCCTGGGGGGCACACCGGCCTCGTCTTCAGAAGCTTCAGTATCATGTTTTTGGGGAATGAGTTGAATGAGTCTCTAAACGGGATTTGGCTGACGCGGTGAGCTGTGCCAAGTCCAGGACAGCGAATAGCCTTCGCGCTGTCCTGACCTGAAACCCAGGGGGCCGGAATGTTCTGCGATGCTGTCCGAGGCGAGCCGGCCTGAATCATGGCTCTGGCTGTTGGTTCCCGCTGTGGTTCCCGTGTCCCTTCCAGCTCCTGCTCTAGCACTCCCTCCTGCGGCTTCATGGCCGCTGTTCATTTGCATCCGGATTCAGTGGCTGTCTGGGCAGGAGCTTTGCTTTTCGGTGACAAGTGTCCAAACGGGAGGCCCCCTCAGAGATGGCCAGCTCTGACTGCCTAGGCTCCCGTGTCCTTCCTACTGTATTTAGGGGCACTTGAGTCTTAACGTGCTGGCTGGCACCGTGCTTCCCCTTACCGTGGTGTTTCCTCCCGGAGGAGAATGCTCTTTGCCGCACGGGCCCTCCTTGGCTGCCAACAGGAGGGAAGAAATGGCCAGGTGGCTCCTCCCACCCTAGCACCAGGGTCCTGTACCGTCCATGGTTGGAGGGCCGCCTGGTTTCTGACAGAACCGGGGGTGTGCGTGCCTGCACACGTTCTCCGGCTCCTCTGCACCTCCATTTCCTCACCTGTGCTGAAACGAGCCGAGCTTGGACTGGCTGTGCGCCTGGAGCTGCAGGAGGGGCCCCTGTGGAGCTGGCCCTTCTGCAGACACGGCTGACACTTGCTTTCCAGGAGGAACAAGAGGCAGCTCGGCGCCGGCAGCAGCGAGAAAACAAGAGCAACACGACCACTCCCACCAAGGTGCCCGAGAACAAGGCTGCTGTGCCTGCCGACACCCCTATGGTGAGTGCGCGCCCTGTTGCCCCATGCCCCCGGCACCCCACAGAGGGAGGGCTCCCGTGTCTGGGCATACACAGTACTTACCAGGGCCTGGGGCTCCCTTGACATCCCCCACCTTCCATCTGGTAGGATTCTGGTGCCGAGGAAGAAAAGGCTGGGGCAACCACCATCAAAAAGCCGTCTCCCTCCAAAGCCCGGAAGAAGAAGCTGAACAAGAAGGGGCGGAAGATGGCCGGCCGGAAGCGTGGGCGTCCCAAGAAGATGAGCACTGCGAACCCCGAGCGTAAGCCCAAGAAGAGCCAAACTGCACTGGACCTCCTGCATGCCCAGGCCGCGTCTCAGACGGCAGCGCCCTCGCCGCAGGGTGAGCCAGCCTCTGTTGGGCCCCTCGGGCATGCAGTCTGTTGGTCCCGGCATTCCCCTTGCCTCCCTGCCTTGGTACGACGAGTGGGGTCTCTGTCCCGTCCCCTACAGCAGTGCCGAGTGGTGGGGTGCCCACGTTTCAGACCCTCTGGGGGCACAGTGGGGCATCTTCGTGCCTGTCTATGCCCAGCTGGTCTGCCTGAGAGCCAGCTGCGATGGGGGCCTTCCCATCATCCTGCTACCTTGGGTTCTGAGGAAGGCTGCACTGAAGGGACACGGCTTCATGGGCCTTTCTGAGGTCATGCGGGTGTTCGACTCCACTTTTCCAAGTGCCAAGATGCAGTGTCTGGTCACATCTCTGGACTCTAGGAATTGTGTGTTGTCTCATGTCTTAACGAGCTGGCCAGTTCCCTGAAGTGGTCTATGGAAGTGTCCAGGCACTCTGGCCTGCTGTTGACACGTGGCTGCTCTGTCTCCCTGCAGATGCGTACAAGTCACCTCATAGCCCGTTTTATCAGCTACCTCCCAGTGTGCAGCGGCACCCCCCTGACCAGCTGCTGCTGGCACCCACCCCACCCGCACTGCAGAAGCTGCTAGGTGAGCCGCACCCACACACCTTCCCCAGCAAGCCCCTGTGCTGCTAGGTCATGGGGGCCCAGGGTCTGTGCTGCCACAGTCAGCTGGGCCCACGAGCTTGCTGGAGGGCAGATGTCTGCCCCAGGGCACACGGGGTCATGTCTGGGGACATGGATGGTTGTGGTGACTGGGTTGGGGTCCGGGATGCTGTTCCATACTCCCCAGCACCGGAACGCCCCCAGGGATCCACCCAGCCCATGTCTGCGGCTTTGGGTTGGGAAGGCTATGTGGGGGTTGAGCTTGGTGTCCCATGTGGCTGAGCGGAGTGTGTATGTGCCCATGCTGCTGGACTAGATGAAACTGCAGCTTGTTTCTAAAAATTGGGTAGAAGAAACCCCTTTTCACATTTTGGGAGCTGGTGGTTTTCTCGGGTCAGCATCAGCAGCACGTGTTTGCTAAGAAAAGCGGCAGATTTACTAACCGAAACCCGCATGGTCTTGGAAGAAGACCTGGGGTGGTGGTGGCGGGAGCCATGAAGGGTGCCCAGGGTGGGGACGGAAGGCCCTGGCATGACGGCAGGCAGTGACACAGACGCTCTTTGCAGCCTCAGGTGGTGGCAGCCCCTCCGACACTTGTTTCTGAAGGGCTGCCCACCTCCTTCCTGCTGGTCATAGTGGGATCATGTCCGCGCTAACGTGTGCTTGACCCGTTCTAGAATCCTTCAAGATTCAGTACTTGCAGTTCTTGGCGTACACCAAGACCGCCCAGTACAAGGCCAGCCTGCAGCAGCTGCTGGACCAGGAGAAGGTGAGCTCTGCCCTGTGCTGGCCGCTCCCACGCCCCACCCGCTGGCATGGACGGCCCCGCCCTCCCAGGAGGGGCCCTGGCCCTGAGAGAGGTGGCAGTCTCCTCACCGGCCTGTGCGCAGTCCCTGTTGCATTCAGAAAGGCCTTGGAGTCTCGTTCCTCGCTGGGTGGGAACACTCTTGACCAGTGAGAATCGCTGAGGGTCATCGGCTTCCTGGACTGGGGCATGTCCTGCTGAGCCTCTCTCCTGCAGGCCCTCTGTGAGAAGGGACGTGGTGGGGACAGGGCCTTGTCGTCACCATGCTCTGTCCTTGCAGGAGAAGAACGCCCGGTTGCTAGGTGCTGCGCAGCAGCTGTTTGGCCACTGCCAGGCCCAGAAAGAGGAGATCAAGAGGCTCTTCCAGCAGAAACTGGATGAGGTAGGGGAGCCGGAGACCACAGCTGCCGCCCTGGGCTTGCTGGCCCAGCAGACGGCCCCAGGCGCAGGATTCAGGTGGGCAGGGGCAGGGCGCAGGCCAGGGCTCTGAGGTCTGGAAGGACTTTTTCTTGTTTGGTGCTTTGCCTTTTTACGTTTTCTGATAGAAGGATCTAGAACGTGAGAGTGTAGTTGGAGGGTTGCTGGCGTGGGTTTGTGCCTCTGGGCCATCCCCTTGTTCCTTTCCTGGGCCACTGTACGTCCTGTTGGTGACTTTTCTCAGCCACCCTCCTAGCCCCAGTCCCTGGTGGCTCGAGCCCACTGAGCCTCCACCTGCCCTTTACCTGCCATACCGTGCTCCTGCGTGAAAGCCCACCTCTGCTGTCGTGTGTCCCCAGCTGGGAGTGAAGGCGCTGACCTACAACGACCTGATTCAGGCACAGAAGGAGATCTCGGCTCATAATCAGCAGCTGAGGGAACAGACGGAGCAGCTGCAGAAGGACAACAGGGAGCTGAGGAGCCAGAGCCTACAGCTGGTGGGTGCCGGGAGAGGGCGGGCACCAGGCCCTGGACAGAGAGCATGAGAGGGTGCTTGCCAGTTTTCCAGGACCCCAAGGCCTTTTCCTGGGCCCTTGGAGCACACTGGCACCAGTGGGGCCCACAGCCCTTCCAGAGGCTCTGATGTTTTCCCTCGACGGGGCTTCCTGGGTGGCCTGCACCTGGGTATCCTGCACCCCGTGCTGGTCTCCTCAATGTACCCACGGGCAGGGTACAGATCTCTTGGGCCCTTCTTCCTCTGGGGACCAGGCACATGTCACTGAGTGTGCAGGAAAGTCCCTTCTAACAAGGCCTCCCTCCCTCGTCCATCCTGAGGGCCCCCTCACATTGCTCCCCCTGAGTGTTTAAGAACACTCAGACCCCCGGCCTCATCCTCGGGCTGCCTCCTCAGCCTGGCCTTCCCTTGGTAGGTTCCCTTTTTCAGGCACATAGGCCCTCGGGGACACCGGCCCACACCCCTGCTGTGTCTCCCCCCAGGGCCCCTGGTGTCTGCCCTCTGCCGGGCTGCAGGATCCCCACCGCACCCTCCCCACAGCAGCACATTTTCCCGGGTCAGAGGTCTGCCCTCTGCCCGGATAGGGCTCACCACCACGACCTCCTGTCCCCACAGCTCAAGGCTCGGTGTGAGGAGCTAAAGCTGGACTGGTCCACGCTGTCCCTGGAGAACCTGCTGAAGGAGAAGCAGGCCCTGAGAAGCCAGATCTCCGAGAAGCAGAGGCACTGCCTGGAGCTGCAGGTGGGCGCTGCGGCCATAGCAGGGGCTCCTCTCAGGGCTTCCATGGCAGTGGCTGGAACATGGCCGATGCCATCAGCTGACCCACAGGAGCTGTTCTGCTCCCGAGGACGGGGTATTGGTTTTGGCCTTGCAGTGACGGCAGCCTGGGCATCCCTGTCTGGCCTCGAGGGGAGCGATGGGCTGAGCATTGGAGGGGCTCCCTTGCGCCCAGAGTGTCTGGGGCCCCGTTCAAAACCTAGGATTGCCTCAGTGCTCCCTGCTGTGTCATTTCTGAAGCCGCACCTGAGGGGATCCGTGCTTGAGCACCAAGGTTTAACGGCTTGGGCTTTTTGCGGGAAGGGTAACGTGTTCGCCAAGGTCTGCAGGGAAACAGGCCGGGAGGGCAGGGGAAACGAACAGGTCTGTCTTGTCTTGAGGTTTCCCAGAGCTGGCTGACTGGCTGGGTAGCCTTCGGGGGCAGCAGGACCACAGCAGGGTGTGTGGCACGGGCATCATTGGTCCTGGGATGCTCCATTTGCAAGGCTGTGGCCTCCTGTCAGGTTGGCATCTCCCCAGCCTGGCTTCACCACTTACGTGAAGCCTTCCTAGTCACTGGGCCCTCAGGGTCTGTAAAATGTTCTGTTGTTACAAAACGATGTCACAATGAATCGTTCTGCACTGAAGACTCATTTTAAGTATGTGTGTCTTAAAGACCTACTCCGCAGAGTGGGCCTGCAAGTGGTTTAAGATCCCGGGGTATGGGGCTGAGCTGCTTTCTGAAGGGTTGTGGCCCAGGTGTTCTTGCCTGCGGGTCATGAAAGAGAGGCTTGCCAGCCTCGTGAGCAGAGAGCCAGGCCTTGTTTCTGCGGACACGCCTGCAGGAGACGCGTCCATAAGAGAAGCCTCTTGGGTGCTGAGCCCCTGTGGAATGAAGGCAGGAGGCATGTTGGTGATGGGGGAAATCACAAAGAAAGCTGAGAAATCAAAGAGAAAATGCTTGGTGTCCCGAGTGCCAGGAAGGAAGCGCAGTGCTGGGGTTTCTCATGGACGGGTTGTCTGTAGCCTGCTTAGGCATAGACAGGGTCTCTGCGTGCGTTCACCCCAGAGCTTCCTGACCCGGGCTGGGCGCGTGGCTCTTCCCCTGGGTGTGTGGCTGGGCCGGCTTGTCATCAGGCCCTGGGTAGGTGTGAGCCGGCCCCCAAGCCGAGCAGCAGCCCTGACCCCCGCCTCGCCCTGCAGATCAGCATCGTGGAGCTGGAGAAGAGCCAGCGGCAGCAGGAGCTCCTGCAGCTCAAGTCCTGTGTGCCTCCAGACGAGGCCCTGTCAGCGCACCTGCGTGGGAAGAGTGCCCTGGGCCGGGAGCTGGAGGCTGACCCCAGCCGACTGCACCTCGACCTGGACTGCTCCAAGTTCTCTCTGCCCCACTTCAGCAGCGCAAGCCCAGAGCTCTCCATGAACGGCCACGCAGCCAACTACGAGCTCTGCAGCGCGCTGAGCCGGCCCTCATCCAAGCAGAACACGCCTCAGTACCTGGCCTCCCCGCTGGACCAGGAAGTCGTACCCTGCACCCCCAGCCACAGCAGCCGGTCGAGGCTCGAGAAGATGTCTGGCCTGGCCTTGCCCGACTACACCCGGCTTTCCCCGGCCAAGCTGGTGCTGCGGCGTCACCTGAGCCAGGACCACGCGACCAGCGGCAAGCCAGCCGCCAGTGAGCTGCATCCACGGTGAGTCTGCACTCAGAGCTCACTAGCCCTGCTCTGGTGCCTTCAGGCCACCTTGGGGTCTTTTGAGTGAGAGCTCAGCTGTTTGGAAGAGATTTGGGATATTTGCTAGGCCTGGCCACCAACTCTAGATGCAAAGCCATGGTGGTGGTGATTCCCCAGAGAGCAAACCATGGATGTGTCTTGTTCCAGAGCCGAGCATACCAAGGAGAACGGCCTTCCATACCAGAGCCCTGGCATCACAAATGGCATCAAGCTGAGCCCTCAGGACCCTCGACCCTCGTCCCCCGTGGCCTTACAGATGACAGGGGAGAGGGGCAGCGAGAAGGTGAGGGCAGGGCCCAGGCTGTGGGGGTTGCGCAGCAGGTGTCCTGAGTAGGGGCATTAGCAGGAGCCTTCCAGGGGAGGGCCAGGCCAGTTTGCGGAGGACTCAGGGCAGAGGCACCTCCAGGTAGGGGGTCAGGATAAGCCTGGGAAGTGGTGCTGCAGCAGAGCTCCTGTGGGGGGGGCCATCACTCGAAAGGACAGGAAGGAGAGAGACTGTGGGAAAGTAACTGGTGTGAGGGCCCTGGAGTTCAGGAGGAGGAGCCATTGGGTGGTGCGTGGGTATCAGGGGATGAGGACTCTCCTCCCTGCCCTCTGGGGGCTGCTGGTTGCCGGGCATTACTGGTCAGCAGGGGCAAGGCCGGTCTGGTGGTGTGTCTGCAGGGCTTGAAGGAGCGTGCCTATGCCAGCAGCGGAGAGGCCATCACCAGCCTGCCCGTTAGCATCCCGCTCAGCACCGTGCAGCCCAGTAAGCTGCCCGTCAGCATCCCTCTGGCCAGTGTGGTGCTGCCCAGCCGCGCCGAGAAAGTGGTGAGTGGACGCTGGGCAGGGAAGGTGCTGGCCACCTGGTCGGACTGGCCCGGGGCCTCGGGCTCCAGGAGTGTGCGTTCCAGAGCGCCATGTGTACGCAGAGGGGTCTTGTCATGTTTTTTCCTTGTGAGGCCTGCTTGTTAGGTTGCGTGCCGTACGTTTGGAGTGTACTGCAACGCTCCCAGACAGAGCCCAGGATCCAGAGTTCATTACAATATGTTCCCATTTTTATCTCGGATCTGTTTCTGTGGAAGGTGGTGTGTGCAGGTGGAGAGGGAATAAAACCGCAGGTTGGGTAGAAGCTTGAAGGCTGCCTCCCTTCGTCCTGCCTCACGTGCGTGCACCCGTGAGCAGCAGGATCTTGTGTGATGTGGTCCTTCCTCTATTGTGACCGAGCTCTAATTCACATTCCACCCACCCATTAAGGTGTACGTCTTAGTGGCATTTAGTCTGTTCATAGTCCCGAGGCCGCTACCTGTTCACAGATTCATTCACACACGTGGACTCCCACCCCGTGGGGCCTCCTGTGTCTGGTTCCCTCCCTAAGTGTTGTAGGCTTGGGGTTAGTCCCCAAGGTGGCGTGTGGGCACCTCGCTCCTGTTGGCAGCCCAGTGACCTTCTTGTCCACATTGTGTGCATCTATTCATCTGAGGGTGGACATTTGTTTCCGCCTTTGGCCGTTACGAATCACGCTGCTGTGAATGTGCGTACACAGGCTTTGTGTGGGGGTGTATCTTCATCCCGTCCCACGTAGGAGTTTGGATCCTAGCTGCAGCCCGGCATTAACATCCCTGCTCCCTTCGTCCCCAGCCTGATGTTTGCTGTTAGCCAGAACAGTCCTTTGGAACCCGAGTCAGATATCTGCCCCTCACCTTGTCAGAACCTTCTGGTGGCTACCCACAGTGCTCAGACGTTGAGCAGGTCATTTCCCCTTCTGTACATCAGCTCTTACATACCTGCTTTTCTCCCTGCCTCAGGCCCTTTGCACATCCTGTGGCTATGTCTGGGTCTTCCTCCCTGACTTTCACCCCCCAGCCCTGGCTCTGCTGACAGTGTGTACTTTTTCTCCGCAGAGAAGCACCCCCAGCCCTGTGCCGCAGACCCGAGAGTCCTCGTCCACACTTGAAAAGCAGATGGGCACAAACACCCACAGCGCTGGAAGCAAAAGCCTTGCCTCAACTCCCGCAGGTCAGTGCTCCTCTGGCTCCTGGGTCCCTGCCCTTGGCCCTTCCCCGAGGCCCGGCCCTCCCCAGCCTCTGTTGCTGCTGCTGGAAGAGGGAGGAGCCAGGACAGGCAAGGGGTGTGAGCACCCTAGGTGGGCCAGACCAGGCTCTGAGCCGGCCCCGTTCTCCCGGCCATGGAGTCTGCACTGTGTCAGGGCTGTGGGCAGCAGCACAAAGAGCGAGCCCTGGAGGTTGGGGGCTCTCGTCTGGGCCTCAGTACATCTCATGAGGCTTTGGCCTGGAGCGTCCTGACAAGCACGCGCTTCCTTTGGCAGCATTTCAGCCCGGGCGGTCTGCCCTACCCGCTTGGTGATATCCTTGTCCAGCTGCTGTGGCGTCTGGGCTGCCGGGTCTCTAGCTGAGACCTCTGACTGCTGCTGGCAGAGGCCCCCACAGGCTACACAGGGCTGGGTGGCTCACGGCGCCTCGGCCACCCTGGCCCAGACTCCCCTGAGAAACCCTGTCCCTCCCGGCAGGCTTCTACACGGGCTCGGTGGCCGTCAGTGGGGCCCTGGCAGGCAGCCCAGCGCCCCTGGCTCCTGGAGCAGAGCCCAGCGCCTTCGACGAGGTCTCTGGCTCAGGAAGCCTGTTCGCCAGCATGGGGTCCTGCAGCTCCACCCCGCAGCACCCGCCCCTGCTGCCACAGTCCCGTGGCTCCGGCGGAGCCTCACCCGCCCATCCGCTCTGTGCCAGTCCGCGGCTCAGCAGTGTCGCCCAGGGCCCGCTCCCCGATGCCAACAAAGGGGACCTTCCGTCCGAGGCGGGCTTCTCAGACCCTGAGGGCGAAGCCAAGAGGAGGATTGTCTTTACCATCTCAGCTGGTGGCAGCAGTGCCAAACAGTCGCCTCCCAGCAAACCCAGCCCTCTGCCCACGGGTGCCCGCGGGGACAGCAGCCAGGGCCATGGGTCGGACAGCCGCAAGCGGGGCAGGAGAAAGCGGGCCTCGGCGGGGACCCCGAGCCTGAGCTCAGGCGTATCGCCTAAGCGTCGGGCCTTGCCATCTGTTGCCGGCCTCTTCACGCAGTCTTCAGGGTCCCCGCTGAACCTCAACTCTATGGTAAGGCTCGGGGGCAGGGACGCAGTGGGGAGGGCATGGCGGCCCACCTGGCCCAGGCAGGTGCCTGCCCATGGTGTCTCGTGTTCCCAGCCTGGCCAAGGAGACAGGCCCCGGGAGCACAGCCAGGAGGCCAACCACAGACCACCTTACTCTGAGGGCAGAGGGCAGGCTTAGCCATTCCCAGTGGTCTGAGCAGGGGGGACCCGAGCAGAGCCCTTGGGTGCCGGTGCTCGGGGGAGCCTGTTGACAGGGTTGTGCTGTGTCTGTGCTGGTCCCTCAGGTCAGCAACATTAACCAGCCTTTGGAAATCACGGCCATCTCGTCCCCCGAGAGCCTGAAGAGCTCCCCTGTCCCTTACCAGGACAACGACCAGCCGCCCGTTCTCAAGAAGGAGAAGCCCCTGAGCCAGACCAATGGGGCCCACTACTCCCCACTGACCTCAGATGAGGAGCAGGGCTCTGAGGACGAGCCAGGCAGTGCCAGGTGAGTGGAGCCAGGCGGGGCTTCGCGGGGGGGAGAGGCCCTCATGATGAGGCGGGACCTCCCAGGGCAGCGCCTGGGCAGAGGCCAGTCAGCATCGCACTACTGTCAGTTGGGGGGCGTAGGGGTCCTGACCTCGGTGGCTTCCCTGCCATGGGCCCTCAGCTGCGCCCACAGCTCCACAGAGCAGCCGTCCCCACGTGGACAGTGGCCCGAGACTCTTCACCTTTACTTGTAAGAAGCTGCTCGTGAAGGGCCCCAGCCGTCTTCCCGCCTGAGACTTAGCATCCAGGCCAGAGCCCGCCCCCTGGGCCCAGAGCCCCCGGGGCATGGGGCTACCGTGTCCCTTCTCGTTCCTGACCCCAGTGTCACTTGGTTAGAACAGATGAAGGGAGCGCGGGCGGCTGCAGCAGGAAAGGGCTCGAGAAAGAGTTCCCCAGTTCACGTCGATGTTGCACGTCTGGAGTGTTGGATCGTGAATGATTTCTGATATGTAACAGCTTGATTAGATCTGGTTCACGTAGCACATTGCCTGTGTGGGGAGTGCAGTCCAGTGGTTTTTGGTATATTCGCAGAATTGTGCAGATGTCACCGGTATCATTTTTAGAACATTCTTACCATGTCACAAAGAAGCTCGTGCACCTTAACTCTGACCCCCCGCACCCTACCCCACCCCCGGCTCCCACCACCTCCTCTGGGGACCTCCTGGGAGGGGAGTCCTGCAGGAGGTGTCCTTTTGGGTCTGGGTCCCCTCCCTGACCCCAGAGTCCTTGGGGTCCGTCCGTGTGGGGGCAGGTGTCGGGTCCTCTTCCTCCCCGGGGCTGGGTCGTATCCCGGGTGTAGACAAACCACATATAATTGTGTTCATTCATTACACGCCAGTGGATATTTGAGGAGTGTCCAATGTTTAGCTCCTGGGGATAACGCTGCTGTGAACTTTCATACACCTGTTTTTGTTCGAAAATGTTTACAGTTGGGGGCCCTGGGTGGCTCAGTCTGTTGAATGTTCGACTCTTGATTTTGGCTTATGACCTCAGGGTTGTGAGATGGAGTCCTGCATTGGGCTCCGCTCTCAGCATGGAGTCTGCTGGAGACTCCCTCTCCTCCCTGTGCCTCTCCCCTCTCCCTTGCTCATGTGCCTGTGTACATGCATGCACTCTTTCTCTTTCTCAAATGAATAAACCTTAGAAAAAAAAAAAAGTAGGAGTGCCTGGGGGGCTCAGTCAGTGAAGCATCTGCCTTCAGCTCAGGTCATGATCCTGGGGTCTTGGGATCAAATCCTGTGTGGGGCTCCCTGCTCAGCGGGGTGCCTGCTTCTCCCTCTCTGCTGTTTGTGCACTCTGTTAAATAAACAAATAAAACCTTAAAAGAAAATGTTTTTAATTTACACAAGAGTTTAACCTAGTAGACATTCTTGCAGGTGTGAGGGGAGCTCTTCTGACCAGTGGTGTTGCCCGTCTTCCTGTGTGCTCATGGCTGTTTGTATGTCTGCAGAGAGATGTCTGTTCGGGTCCTTTTTTGTTGTTTTATAAGAGTTTTTTATATGTTCTAGAAACGTGATCCTTTTTTTTTTTTAAGATTTTATTTTTTTATTCATGAGAGACACAGGCAGAGGAAGAGGCAGGCTCCCTGCGGGGAGCCCGGTGCGGGACGCCTGATGCGGGACTCGATTTCGGGACCCCGGGGTCACATCCTGGCCCGAAGGCAGACGCTCAACCACCGAGCCCCTGGGCGCCCTGACACATGATCCTTTATATGATACCTGATCCGTGAATCTTTTCTTCCTTTCTCTGGATTTTCTTTTCACGTTCTTTCAGGTGTCCTTTGAGGAACAAAAGTGTTAAATTTTGATCCAGTTCCATTTCTGTCTTCTTTCATTGCTTGTGCTTTGGTGTCTTGTTTAGGTGACTCTGTTCTGTTCCACTTCCACCTACAGAAATTATGTTTTTAAAAATTTTGCACTTCAGTGCTTTTCTTTTGTGCTGGGAATGTCCGACTTTGGAGTTTCCAGATTTTTTCCCGCCGCTTTCTCGTGTTTCCAGAGGTCATGGTGTTCTTCGGGATGTGCGTGGACAGTACTGACACGTAGAGTATACACAGTTTTATGGCCTGGCACCACTGCAAGTACCCACTTGCTCTAGGGTGCTGTGTGCTACGTGTCACGTGGGTGACACGCCGTAGACGATGTAGTGCCTGTGGCTATAGCAAGCCTTTGAGGTTTGACAAAGAGCTTGGGAGGCAAGTTAAAACAGGCAGCCCCACCTGGGACTTGTGAAGGGAAGTGACACCCCCGTTCCCGAGCTCTCAGCACTGTCCCCTGTGGGCAGTATCCTGCTCTGCCTGGTGGTCACAGTCCCCTGTAGAGCAGTCTGCGGCCAGGCAGGCTGTGCGTCAGCCTGCTTCTGTCCCTCCCTGGGCAGTCAGCGTGCAAATGGATTTCAAACATCTGTTATCTATTTTTTTCTTGATAGAATCGAGAGAAAAATTGCAACAATTTCCTTAGAAAGCAAATCCCCTCCAAAAACCTTGGAAAGCGGTGAGTAGCTGTGCTCACTGGCCTGTGACTCCCAGGCTCAAAGTGACCCAGGGTGTGGCCTTGACCCTCAACTACTCTGGGCTGGGCTTCCAGAATTGTCTCTGCATGATGCTAAATGCCGCTCCAATGGACCGTAGTCCCTGGAAGGCAGTCCCATCCCCTCCTGGTTGAACCAGGCCAGAGTCTGACACTCTGTGCTTGCATGCTGTCCCTGCACAGATGCTCCCGTCTGCAGCTCCCCGTCCCTTCCCACCCTCGTCCTGCTCAACCACCTGACCACCCAACAGAGGCACTTGGGCTCCATGGCTCCTCTGGTGGGAGGGAGTGGCTCTCAGACCCTGGACCTCACAGGCTCTGCCTCTCCTCGGCAGGTGGTGGCCTGGCCGGGAGGAAGCCGACCCCTGCCAGCGAGCCCACCAACAGCAGCAAGTGGAAGTCCACCTTCTCACCCATCTCCGACCTCGGCCTGGCCAAGTGCGCCGACAGCCCGCTGCAGGCCGGCTCCTCCCTGAGCCAGAACTCCCTGTTCACTTTCCGGCCTCCCCTCGATGATCCCGGCTCGGCCGACACCAAGCTGGCTGCCCACCCCAGGAAAAGCTTTCCCGGCGCTCTGTCGGGGGCCGGTGGGCTGAGCCCAAGCAGCAACCCTCCCAACGGCTTCGCCTTCGGTGGGGGCCTGGCCGCCGACCTCAGTTTACACAGCTTCAGCGATGGTGCTTCTCTCTCCCACAAGGTCCCCGAGGCGGCCAGCCTGGGCGCACCCCTGAGCTTTCCTGCCCCGCGGGGCAAGGAGGGCGGTGCCACAGAGCCCGGCGCCTTTGTGAACAAGAGGCAGCTGGACGGACTGGGCGGCCCGAAGGGCAGGGAGGCGGGCGAGCTGGGCCTGCCAGTGTGCGGGCCCCCGGACAAGGCCTCGCTGACGCACAGCAAGCCCACCAAGGGCCGGGACCGCGAGCCCGACCTGAAGAATGGCCACAACCTCTTCATTTCTGCTGCCACCGTGCCTCCCGCGGGCCTCCTCAGCGGCCCCGGCCTCGCCACGGTGGCATCCTCGGCAGTCAGCGCGGCCCCGTCTGCCCAGACTCACCGCCCCTTCCTGGGCACCTTTGCCCCCGGGCCGCAGTTCGCCCTGGGTCCCATGTCCCTGCAGGCCAACCTGGGCTCGTCTGTGCTGCAGTCCTTGTTCAGCTCCGTGCCGGCTGCTGCTGGCCTGGTGCACGTCTCGTCCGCTGCAACCAGACTGACCAACTCGCACGCCATGGGCAGCTTTTCCTCGGGGGTGGCAGGCGGCGCAGTTGGAGGTAGGCAGACACACGTCTCTCCCATTTGACTCTCAGGTCCTGTGGGCCGCACACCGTCGCCCTCCTGGACCACTGGGCTAATGACAACTGCTTTCCAGGTTCCCTTGCAGGGCCCCCTAAGGGGCGAGAGGCTGTGCCCACCTGTCCCCTTGGGTCCACTTTGCACCTGCCACCTCGTTCCTTTTCGTGAGATGCAGATGTGCCTGTGGTGTGGGCAGAGCACTCACGCGTGAGTCGGCCTGCGTCAGGCCCTCTGGTTGTGACGGCGTCCCTTGTACCTTCAGGAGAGCTGGCGCCACGACTAGGGCTTTGTTTCCTCCCCGTGGAGGTCATCTGTCCGACCTGACACAGCCCACGGGTTCTGGGCAGCCTTGGGGGCTGGCGCTGGGCAAGAGTGAGCGGCCACAGCGCCTGCTGCATGGTGGCACCGTGTAGGGGTGGAGAGGAGCCACGTGGCCGGGCCGGGCCAGGCCGCCTTGGGGTCCCAGACCTCCGCAGCTGGCTCCTTGCTGGGCACAGGCGGCCAAGGCCCTGTCCCGCGGCTGGGAGCCCGGGTGGGCGTGCCCACAGGGGGTGCGGCCCGGCGCTGCCCTGCAGGTAAGTTGCACCTGGCCGCCCGTGCCCCCGCTGCTTGCTGCTTTGCCCCTGCCCTTGCGACGCACGCGGAGCTGCGGCCACTGTCTGCTTCCCTGTTGTTGTGTCTCTCTGCGCTTGACTGGAGAGTGCCCACCTGTTGAAGCTGAGTTTTTCTCTCCTGTTTGCAGGTGTCTTTAACCACGCGGTGCCTTCCGCCTCCGCTCATCCGTTTGGAGCCAGTTTCGGCAGCGGGGCTGCGTGTCGCAGCGCCACGCTGAGCTTAACCCCGCTGCAGGCGGTGGCCAGCGCCCCTGCGTCTTCCTTTCAGGCCCCACCCCCGCCCCCTCCGGGGCAGCCCGCCCTCCCCGCACCCCCTCCCCCTAACGCCGCCTTGCCTCCTGCCCCCGCGCTGCTCCCGGCTAACTCTGAGCCCGTGCTTCTGCAGAACCTTGCGTCCCTCCCAGCTAACCAGGCTTTCTTACCCGCCTCCTCTGCCGCCTCTCTGCAGCCTGCTAACGCCTCTCTGTCCATCAAGCTCGCCTCCCTCCCGCACAAGGCCCCCCGCCCCTCCTTCACGGTGCACCACCAGCCCCTGCCCGGGCTGGCCCTGGCCCAGGCCGCGCCCGTGATCCCGCAGGCCAGCTCCACGGGGCCGTCTGCCGTGTGGGTTTCCCTTGGCATGCCGCCTCCGTATGCCGCGCGCCTTGCGGGGGTTAAGCCGAGATAAAGACCTTGCTTAGCTAGCAGTTCGTATTCTGTAAGGTAAGGCTAGAGCCCAACCAGGGGGCCCGTACGAGACCCTGAACTATCTGTCCTTCCTTCCGCAGACAGTGGACGGGCCCGCAGGGCTCTGAGGAGGGCCCCAGGGGACCCAGGCTGTTCTGCCTCGGGTGGAGACGGTTCTGAGAGGTGCAAGGGAAGACAGCACAGGGAGGCGAGGGAAACCGGGTGGCCAGGCAGGGCTGGCAGTGTGTTCCGGTCTCTGGGGCAGCAGAGCAGCCACCGTGGAGCTCCAGGGAGTGGCCAGCTCTCGCTACCCGGCCCAGCCCTTTATGGGCCCCCTGTGGGCCCCTGCCCAGTGGAGGTGGCAGGACGACGGGGAGAGGGCTGGCAGCCTGGCCCATCCCCTCTGGGCCGAGCCTCTCCCATCAGCACCCTCGGGCTTCACGTGTGCAGCGGCCAAGGACGGGGGCCACCAGGGGAGCCCAGAGCTCGGCCTTGCCGCCTGCCTGCTCCTCGGCCTCCCGCGGCCCGTGTCTCTGAACGCTTCCTGGAGGGCTTTAAGAGAAGGCAAGGCGTAGAGGGCCGTCCAGACTCGGTGCTCGTGCCTCAGGCTCCTGAGCCAAAGGCCTGGACTGTGGGCAGTGCTTTGTCATGGTGGCCACGGCACAGCTCCCGCTGCTCCAAGGAACGGGGCCCATGCCTCGGGCGGTCACCGTGGAGTCGGTGCAAAGCAGTGTAGGAAGGGCCCGCCTTTGGAAGCGGGTGAGGAACGTTGCCGCGAGGCCTTCAGGAGGGGTTTCCGTCCGCTCCTCTGCTGGCGGCGTGTCCGCGTTAGGGGCTGGGCCCTGGGACAGCCAGCCGGCCTCTGCTGGTGCTGCTTGGTGGCCCGGGGGCGAGGGGCCCGCTGGGCCCGGGACTCGAGCAGGGAGGCCAGGTGCTAACGGCGCTGGGGCGGGCCGTCCGTGACCATCTGCCGCGTGGTTAAGTGGAAACAGGTGTGGGGCCGCTGGGGTCCGATGGCCTCTCAGTCAGGGTGCTGGGCAGCAGATGGCCTTACCTGAGGTCCGGGGATGGGCTGGGCCACATCCTGTTGGAAAAGCCCAGGAGGTAGGGCAGCTTTCGTGTGCGGTGGCCTCACGCCATCAGAGAAGGCGTTGTGCGGCCGGAGCCAGCTGAAGAGGTCAGAGGTGTGCGTGGGCAAGCACCTGGGCGGCAGGCTCCGGGTCCTGGCCCGCAGGGGACCACTGCCTTCTGTCCCCCGGCCCCGCGGCCGCCACGGGCGCTCTCCCTGGGCTGGACCACGAGCAAGGCCTGGCACGTGGGGGCCAGGGTAGGGCCTCGGTGCCAGGTCCTGGGGAGGACGGGAGGACGGGGACCTGCTGCCTCTCAGTGGACCAGGGCCGTGGCACCGGGGGCCCCTGGCAGGAAAGGTGCGGTCTGCAGCGACCATGTTCTGTCTGTCCGCCGTCCATCTGTCCGTAGGAGGCTTTGGTTCCCTGGCCTGGGGGAATGTTTGGGCTTCCCCCGGAGAGCAAGACGCTAATGCTCTGCTGCCTTTCCTCCCGCACTGGTCTCTGCAGGTAACTAGGATTTCTACCTCAACCGTGAGACCTATGCAAGGACGGGCTGGGCCGGCAGGGCCGGCGGCCGGCCCCGGGACGGCGAGGACGGCGAGGACGGGGACGAGGCTCTACTGTGAATCCGCGCTGCACAGACCTGCAGGAGGCGCTGGGGCCTGGCTCCAGCTCGTACTGTCCATAGTTTTAGATAAAGTATTTATCGTTTTTTAAAAAGTATAAACAATTCTGACTTATTTTACTCCACCGAAGTCGTAAAAGCAACCTATTGAGAAGTGTAAATACTATATATGAGAGGATCTATATAAAAGACGTCCACCCGAAGGACTGGCCCGCCCGCGGACGCGCTGACTGCCGGTCCGGTGCTATCTCGACGCAGGCCTCGCCGCCGCCTCGTCCCCTTGGTGCTGACTGGAGGTTGACCAACGCCAAAAGCAGGCCGTGAGGCGCCTGCCCTATTTATTCCCGCCACTCTTCCTATACCAAAGGCATGGCTGTCTCCAGGCGGAGGGTGGCTCGCTCTGTTGTGACATTCCTCAGAAGAGGCCCGCTCCCCAGGGGGGCACCCGCCCCCGCCCCATCACTGTGAACGGCTCCCATCAGACTGTTGGCCCCTCAGTCCTGGGATCAGCGCCTTTGGCATAGGAACGGCTGGCGGGCGCGGGACGGTCAGACCCTCCCCAGTCCTGCGCGGACGCGTTCTGAGTGGTGCTTGAGGAAGGTCTGGTACCCGACTCCCGATGGCGGCGGGGCTGGCTGGTGCGACAAGTGCATTTACTTTTTGTCCGTCTCTGCTCGTCTCGGGCTCCCGCCGCAGCCCACCAAAGCGCGTAGCAAGCTCACGGCACGTGGGCCGGTGACGTGGTGCAGGTTAGTTGTGGGTGCCTGGTGTGTCTGTACAGAAGAGAGTCACGCTGATGAGTGACAGTATTTTATAGAGATGTGATGAAAATTTATAAATTTCATAGACTTGACTTCATTTATTTTTAGATTGTATAATGCACAGTAAACTAAAGAAGAAAGAAAAGTGAGGGGAAAACCTTTCTATTTATTCAAGTGCACACAGTGGCATGGGCCCAGGGCCAGCCCTCGGCCCCAGACTGCGCCACCGCAGTTCGTGGGGGCAGAGAGGACAGGCCCCGCGCCCCGCCCAAGTCCCTCTGGCCAGTCCATGCTGCTGCTCCCCGTCCCTGCCGCCCCCACCCTGGAGCAGCTCTGATGGTGCTTGGGAGTGAATGCACTGGGGGCAGGAGACCAGGGTGAAGCCAGGAGAGCTGTTCTGGATGCTTCCAGAGGTTGCCAGCAGGGCTCTCCAGCCCACTGGTGTAGCAGTCTGTGACCAGTCCTGTGTCCCCACGCTGACCAGTGTTGTGTATGTACGCGGTCTTCGAAAGGGTGCGTCCTGAAGCCCCTAGTCCCCTGCAAGGGCCAGCATCAGCCACGGTCCTGGCAGGGGGACCTGGGTCCCGAGATGGGTGCTCTAGGAAGGGCTGAGTAGAGGTGAGGTCAGAGCCCTATCCTCAGGTGCTTGCACCCACCAAGGAACGCAGGGAACTTGCCTCTTTCCAGAGGTGGGCTTAGCCCGATGCCCAAGTTGAGGCCTTGAGGTCCGGTCCAGGCCTGCTTCCTCCTGACCCCCAGGGGCAAGTCCGGGGCTGGCCCTTCTGGTGGGCAGGCAGCAGGCTTGGGTCGCGCAGGCCACAGAGGGCCACCACAAAACACTCTTCTGCCTGCAGCCGCCTCCTAAAGGCAGACCACTGCATGCGGGGCGGGTCTGGCCGTTGACTGCATTCTGGAAGTCATCTGGACCCCTGCTTTCTGAGCAGGGGCCTGCCCGAGCCCTGCTTTCCTGCTTGCCCTGGGGGTCACGTTCCCGGCCCAGAGCAATAGTTGAGGCAGAAGATGGTGCTTGTGATGGGTTCTTGAAATTGGCCCGTCCTTCTGTAACTGGCTGCCCTGGCTCCCTCCCTCTGGGTTGGTGCTCCTGGCGTGTGAAGGTGCTGAGCCTCACCTGTGAACCCCGAACCCTGGCCCCAGGACAGAGTAGTGCTTACTTGGCATCTCTGAGAGGGTCCCTCCCCCCCACACACACACACACCCACCTGGGTCAGGCATACAGGGCTCCCCAGAAAGCTACAGGGTGGACAGAGGAGAGGTCACAGCACGAGTTCCTGGTGTCCACCACACTGCATCACTTCAGGGAGTGCCCGCACGGTCACTCACGTGGGACTTCCTGCTGACGTGCCATACAGGGTCTCCCGACAGACGCTCACATGCACACACGAGCGCTCACATACAGGCGACTGCGTGTTTGGGATCACCCCATGGTGGCTGAGCTGTCCCTGGCACCGAGGCCAGCCCCTCGGCCTCCTGCGGGAGGGGAGGCAGTGTGCTGGTGCACGGAGCCCGGTGCCGCCCTGACAGCAGGCAACTTCAGGGAAGTCAGCTAGGCCGCAGGGTGGCTCTGCTCAGGAAAACCTAACAGTGAAAACGGCCCTCCCGGCAGCTCGCCGTCTCTTGCAGCTACGGACTGTGATTCTTCTAAGGCTCATGTGCCCCTCCTAAACCCCCCCCCCCATTCCCATGGTCCAGCCACACTGGTTTGTTTCCCACGCTTCTCAACCTTGATTTGTAACTCAGTCGGGGCTTTGCTTTGTGTTTCTGGTAGATTGTGTTTCAGTTGGGGGTGCTGGCGCGGCCTGTCCCTCCCTGGGCTGCTGGCTTGACCCTCTTTTCCTAAGAGAATCCAATGCACTCTGCATTTCCACCTCTAGGCGCTGTAATAAAATATTTGTTTTCACTTGAACCTGGTCTGGTGGCAGCGTTTCTTTCTGGTTATGACGCAGCAAGTGAGAGGAATGAGGGCCGGGGGCCCCAAGTGGGTAGGCAGCGACTCCCAGCAGAAGTGGTAAGCTCCTCGGGGCTGGCAGCAAGCACCCACCTCAGGGAGACCCAGGCCCCCAGTGCTTACACCTGATTAGGTCAGGCCTACCCAGGACACTTTTTTTTTTAAATTAACAACCGACTTAGAACTTTAACGTCGGCAAAACCCTTCTTGATGTCCTGCTTATACTCGAGGGGAGGTCTAAGACCTGGGATCACAGGTCATCTTTGGGTTTAATCCTATCACCCTTCTGTTCTCTACGTCCCTGCCTCCCTGCCTCTCCCTGGCCTGGTTCGAGGTCTTGCCCTCCACTGGGGCAGCCCAGCCCTTCCTCCTGGGCATGGAAACCTCCAACCTGGGGCAGGCTGCCGTCCCGCTGAGGCCTCACTGCCCTCGGGAGCCAGCTCCAACCACCCGGGTCCAGCAGCCCCTCCCTGCATTCACTGCAGCACCGTCCCACATGAAAAAGAGGTACCTTTATTTGAACAGAACAAGCTCGCTGGCCTGAGAGCAAATGCTTCCAGGTCCGCCTAGAGGCGGCTGGCCAGGGGCTGCCCCATCAGCAGGAGGAAAATTCACAGTGGCTCCAGGAGGCGTGGCCCCCACGCCCTTCACAGCATCGTCTGGCCTTGTACATTCAGCCTGCACAGAGCAGGAGACCTGTGCCAGCCTCAGGTGCCGCCAGGCCCCAGATGGACATGCCCAAGGGGCTGGGCGCAGCTTCTAGGAGTGGACACTTGTCCCCCGGTAGCAGCATGTGGCACCAACAGGTACCAGACCAGTCTAGGGGGGTCCCCGAGGCACGAGCATAGGGGGGGCTTACTGGGTTGTCTGTCCAACCTGCCCCCGCCCCCCGCCACCATCGTGGGCTTTTGAAGCCAAGCACCTGCTGCAGCAAATCCAGGCCTGACCAGGACACCCAGGGCCTGGAGAGAACAGGGAGTGAGTGCTTGTTCCAGTCCCGGTAGAAAAGGTGGCGAGCCCCACCCAACTCAGGCCTTCAAGCCACCCAGCTGGAACCTGGCCTCCTCAGATATGCCGAACTGCTCCAGGGGGTCCTGTGTGGATGAACCGGCAGCATGAGCCGGGGCCCCAGAGGCCGCCGCCCGGCCCCCCGCCCCCGGCCCCCTGCCCTCTGCGCACCTTGCCAGTCATCTTCTGGATCTCATTCCTGTAGAATATGAGGCTTCTCCGCATGAACTCGTAGCTGGGGGAGAAAGTGGAATGTGCTCACTCAGGCCCGCCCCTCCCCAGCCCCTGGGCAGGCCCACACCTCACCTGGCTCGACGCAGAGCCCCCATCCACTCCTGACACTGCTCCTCGCTGCAGCACTCAAAGTGGTACTTCCTCTCCGGGTCCTCCATGAAGCCTGCAGAGGGAGCGGTCTGTCTGTCCCGTCTCACTGCCCGTGGACCCCTCCGAAGCCCCCCACGGGCCTCCGCCTCCTGGAGCCTCCTCCAGGCCAAGACGACTCCCAGCGGCTGTGAGTGGACTGGATGGTGCCCCCCACACGGTACGTTCCAGTCCTAACCCTAGAGCCTGTGGCCCAGATACAGAACCGTTCAGAGTGTGGCTACTTAATAAGTCAGGGGAGAACAGGCGGCACAGGACGTCCTCGAGAACATGAAGGGGGAACACGAACACCCCAGGAGTCTTCCGCAGAGGCGAGGGCGCCGCCAGCTGCTGGCCACCCCCGGAAGCCAGGCTCGCCTGGGACAACCTCCCCGACAGGGATCCCCCGCAGGCCTGCTGACGTCACTTCTCCAGCCCCAGGGCGCCCACAGCAGGGCCCGGCAGCCCAGTGCAGTACTGCCCAACAGCAGACAAGGTCCTAGAGGAGCTGCACCCCTGCACCCCAGGGAAGGGTGGACTTTGTCTCCGCGCAGACAGACCGGCGGCGGCCGGGCCGGAGGGGCAGGGCGGGCGCGGCACTCACAGATGGAGAAGCCGCTGGGCTCTTCCTGGCTGATTCTGCAGCGCTCCAGCAGCAGGGCTCCGACGGGCTGCGGGCGGGGCGCGAGGGGGCGAGTGGGGACCGGCCTCGTGGGGACCGGCCTCGTGGGGACCCGGGCCCCCGCCCCCCCGCCCCCGCCGGGCCCCAAAGCCCGCCCGGCGCCCCCGCCCCGACACCTGTCCGGGCCCCGCTCCCGGCCCCTCCCCCCGCCCCGACACCTGTCCGGGCCCCGCTCCCGGCCCCTCCCCCCGCCCCGGCACCTGTCCCGGCCCCGCCCCCCGGCCCCGCCCTCCCCTCCCCCCCCTCCCCCGCGGGCCCCCGCTCCCTTCCCGGCCCCGACCCCCGCCCGTCGGCCTACCTCGGCCTCGTCCGTCCGGAAGTAGAAGAGGAAGTTGACCACCAGCTTCACCAGCCGCCGCTTCAGCACTGCGGGCACAGGGCGGGCTCACGCGGGCTCGGCGGCCGCCCACCCCCGCCCGGCCAGCCCGCCCGCCCGCCCGCCCGGCGCTCCGGCCCGCTCACCGCTGCCTTTCTTGGGGCCTCGCATGCCCAGCTCGGCCGCCAGTTCGGCCGGCTGCCGGGACAGCGCCTGCAGCTCCTTCTCGTTGTAGCGCATGGCGCTGCCAGGACCCAAAACGCGGAGCGCGGGCCGCGCCCACCCGGCCGCCGTCCCCTCTTCCCCTCTCGCGCCAAAAAAGTCCTACAGGGCCGTCCCGGAAGCGCCGTCGCGGCCACTGCGCTTGCGCGGCCCCGAGACACGCATTGTGCTGTCGGCCGGCGCGCGGCGCTAAGCCAGGCCCGCGTGGGGGTGCACGCGATACCGGCCGACACGGACGGCCGTTATAAAAAACCACGCAGCGAGCTGGATCCGAGGTGGGAACCCAGTAAGGCAGCCTCACGACCGTGGCGCCCTCTACCGACGAGCCCACGCCCGCCCTCCCGCGGAAACCGGGCCCGCGCCCGCTAGGCGTGGAGAGCCTGGTGCGCACGCGCACTTCCGAGTTCCGGCCCTTATTCCCAGCCCCGCCCCCTTTCCTCGCCCTCTCGAGCTTCAGGTCCGCCTCGCCTGGCGAAGCACGCATGCGCACACTGGAAGCCCTCGCCCCTCTCCTCCGACCCCGCCGTTTGCCCCCGGAAGCGCTTCTGTAGCCCGCGACGCGCCTGCGCATAACGACTTCGTGGCAGCGGCGGGCGCGGAGTGAGGAGTCGCGCGGGGTGAGGATCCGGGCGGGCCGAGCGCGGCGGTCCCGGGGCCCTGGCTTCCCCGGACGGGAGCGGCGGGGGGCGGGGGGCTCTCGGGTTCGCGGCGCCGCCGGGCCCCAGCTCCCTGGCCGCGCGCGGGGTCGGGCCAGACGAGTCCCGCCTCCTCGGAAGTGTGCGGGTCGGGTCGGGGCCCGGCGGCGCCGTGGGGTCCCTGGCGGCGGGGCGGGGGGGGCGGGGGGGGGCGTGAGGCCGAGGGGGCGCCCGCGACCGGCCCGCGCCCTGGCGTCCCGGGGCTGACGTTGACTTTGGTTGTCCGCGAACGTTCGTGCTGAGAATTTAGGGTAACAAACTCTAGACTGAAAATCCCTCTTGGGGGCCCCCAGGCGGCCCAGGGCGTGACCCCCGGGTCCCGGGATCGAATCCCCCCATCGGGCTCCGCGCAGGGGGCCTGCTGCTCCCTCTGCCTGTGTCTCTGCCTCTCTCTGTGTGTCTCTCATGAGTAAACACAATCCTTAAAAATAAAAAATAAAGATTTTGGGGATCCCTGGGTGGCGCAGCGGTTTGGCGCCTGCCTTTGGCCCAGCGCGCGATCCTGGAGTCCCGGGATCGAGTCCCGCGTCGGGCTCCCGGTGCATGGAGCCTGCTGCTCCCTCTGCCTGTGTCTCTGCCTCTCTGCCTCTCTCTCTCTGTGTCTATCATAAATTTTAAAAAAAAAATAAAGATTTTTATTTGTTTATTAGAGAGGGGGAGGTAGAGTACAAGCAGGGGGAGGAGAGGGAGAAGCAGGCTGACTGCTGAGCAGGGAGCCCGGGACCCTGGGGTCACGACCTGAGCCCCCCGCGCCCCCCGATTGTCTCTGTCCACGGGCTTTTTCCTTTTTTCCGTCCGAACAATGAGATTCTCTCAGGCCCCGGGCCCGGGCTGTTTCCCTTTCTTTGGGAATGCCTTCAGATTTCTTTGAGGATGCCTTCCATGCTTTTTGCTGTTCTTGCTCCGAAATTTCATCTAAGTCTTGTTCTCTTACTTTTTCCCCTCTTTTGCGTTTCTTTGTAAAAGGTTGAAAAAGGTTGGTTTGACTTGTATCTGCAAGCTCTTAAGTTCAGCTGTTTCCAAAGGTTTTGGGTTTGGGTTTTAACTGCCCTTGCTAACCTTTGGTGCCGTGCTCTGCATTTGAGGTGTAGTAACTCTCACCCTGTTTTTGTTGTTGTTTTTTTAAATTTATTTTTATTTATTTATGATAGAGAGAGAGAGAGAGAGAGAGAGAGGTAGAGACACAGGCGGAGGGAGAAGCAGGCTCCATGCACCGGGAGCCCGACGCGGGACTCGATCCCGGGACTCCAGGATCGTGCCCTGGGCCAAAGGCAGGCGCCAAACCGCTGCGCCACCCAGGGATCCCCCCTCTCACCCTGTAATTAAGGAGGATGCTAACATTGCCTGGGGGTGGGGGTGGAGGCTGGCGGATGTGTCTGTGTTTGAGTTCCCAGCCTCTAACCTAGCGAGTCTCACTGCCCAGCAGGCCTAGGAAACCAGACAGGCCTAGGTTTCTTTGTGGGTGCAAGGGACTCCCACTGTCAGTGTCTGAGAATACCGTCTCTAGTGCGCTCTCACTGTGCCCCTGGATTGGGGACCTCCAGGTGGACCTTCTGGGCAAGCTGCAGGGGCAGAGCAGGTGTTCATGGAATTCCTTCTTTTCAGCCTGGCCCTCACTCCACTCCCTGGCTCTCCAACTGTCTGCCTCTGTGCCTGCCCCTCTAAGTGGAGCGGCCCTTTGTTCAGTTCTTCTGAGACTGTAAAACCTACCCAGGCAGTCGGGTGAGGGCCCCTGGGCTCCTGTAGGGGTTGACCTCCCCTGGGGGCGGGGGCCAGGAACACTCTGCAGTGGGCTATGAGCAACTGGCACCTTGGGTCTCCAGTGGCTACTGCTTCCCTTTAACTTGGTGACCAGCTCAGTGTTTGCATTCCGTCTTCCTGAGCCCATCATTCTAAACGTAGACCCTTTTTGCAACACCCGTGATGCCTTTGCCCCAGCCAGCCACTAGCATTTGAGGGGCTTATCTGATGGCTTAACAAGGGACTGGAATCCTCACCAGATTGGGGAGGGGGGGGATCTCCTGGCTTTGTTAACACATTGCTTTCCAAGTCAGTCTTTTTTTTTTTTTTTTAATTTATTTACGATAGTCATACAGAGAGAGAGAGAGAGAGGCAGAGACACAGGCAGAGACACAGGCAGAGGGAGAAGCAGGCTCCATGCACCGGGAGCCTGACGTGGGATTCGATCCCGGGTCTCCAGGATCGCGCCCTGGGCCAAAGGCAGGTGCCAAACCGCTGCACCACCCAGGGATCCCTCCAAGTCAGTCTTATGGCTCTTACTGGCTCCCCACCGCTGGGTCAGTGGGGTGTTCTGGAGATGTCACTGCTAGAACAGGTGACAGGAAGTGAGGGCATGTCTCTGTCTTGGCCCCTGGGTCCCAGCCAAACTGGGGAGCACACACTGCCCTTGTTTTCTTTGTGGGAACAGCAGCCCTGATCGGAGTGAGGTTCTGTCCCACTGTGCTGTTGGTTTGCAGCTCTCTCTGACTAGTGACGCCAGGCGCAGCTTCATCCACCTGTTGGCCGGCTGCTGACTTGATCAGAGCACACTCCCACCCCTAAAAGCACCCAGTTTTCATTGTTCAGGTGAACACCCTCCTGTAACAGCCTTGAGAAGTTGGGTGTTCTCCACGGAGCCCTGGAAGTCCCTGTGGACCTGTGGGAAAGAGACCTCCCAGGCCCCCGATCCCCACTGCCAGTGGAGCCGAGAGGGCCGGTCCCTCAGCACGCACATCCCTCTCATCGCTTCACCCAGAAACCTTGAGTCTCCCTCAGGGGAAGTCAAGTGCTTCGCCAGCAGGTGGGGCAGTGCTGGCCTCCCGCGAGGTCTGTCTGCAGGGACCACGGAGCTCTGGGCAGACCGTGGCCACAGGCCTCCACGGCTGTTGGGGTACAGTGTTCCCTGGTCTCAGCGTGGCACAGAGGGCTCTCCTGGTGTCATAGTCTCCTTTTTTTCACAGTGAAACATTTGTTTCACAGGGCGATTGCCATAGTTGATGGTGCTTATTTTTCATGCTTTGCCTGACAAAACTTAAAAGTGGGCAGCTCTGGGTGGACTCGTATAATGAAAAGTCTGACCCTGTGATGTGTATAATCCCCTGATTTGCCAGCCGTCAGGATGGTCGTGTTGCTGGTTCCCAGGTGTGAGGTCTTCATATGCTCATTAAGGGAAGAACCAGGTGAGGGAGAGGTCTGGATCCGATAGCGTTAGGGGCCGACCTGAGTCACGCTGGAGGCCGTACCCGATGTGCTACTTTCCTATGTCCGCTGTAGCAAATCCCCAGAGTTAGTGGTTTTTTTTTTTTTTTTTAAGGTTTTTATTTATTTATTTATTCACGAAAGACACAGAGAGAAAGAGGCAGAGACACAGGCAGAGGGAGAAGCAGGCTCCATGCAGGGAGCCTGACGTGGGACTCCATCCCGGGCTGCCCTGAGTTAGTGGTTTAAATGACAGGTATATTGCTGAGCAGTTCTGGAGGTCTGAAGTGTAAAAGGGGGGGGGTTGCCTGGGTGGCTCAGTCATTTAGGGTTGAGTTCTTGACTTCGGCTCAGGTTGTGACCTCAGAGTTGCGTGATTGAGCCCTGCCTCAGGCCCTGCGCTGAGTGCGGAGTCTGCTTGAGATTCTTTCCCCCCCTACCGCCCCTTTGCTCCTCTATTCTCTTCTCTTCATTTAAAATGGGTAAATAAATCCTGAAGTCGTTTTTCTGAAAGTGTAAAGGCAGGGAGACCTGCTCCTGCCTTTTCCCACTTCCAGAGGTGCCACCTCCCTGGCCCACGGCCTTTCCTCTGTCCTCACCACCAGCAGCGTGGGGTCTGCCCGTCTGTAGGGCTTCCATCCTCTCCCTCCCTCCCAGGAGGATCCCTGGGTCACCCCCACCTCAGGGACCTGGACTTGCCCGCCCCTGCAAGGTCCTTTTTGCTATTTATGGTTCCATATCCTCAGGTTTCAGAGATTAGAATGGAGACATCTTTGTGGGGTCATATTCACTCCTGAGCCCCATTCCTATGAACTCAGCTCTGCAGGGACAAGACACCGTGGGTTTACGCCAGGGGCCTGGGGCTGATCTCACCCAAGGCAAGAGAGAGCGTGTTTGGAGGGCAGAGGGAGGTGCCTGGAGGTTGGATCTGAGCCGAGCCTGAAAGAACATGGGGAGCGTGGTGGCAGGGAGTGGAACCAGGCTATTTAGGACTCGGGAGAGTCCTGCTTGGGCACAAGTAGGTCTTGGATTTCTTGTGCATTGGGCAGAAGAAGTAGGTAGGTAGCATCTTCCTTGCCTTCAGCAGATTTACAGCCGAGCCACAGAAGTAGAATTTAGTTTGGGGAAAGTGAACATAGACAAGTGGAAATAATTCAGAGGTGAGCACACCGTACACTTGGGCAGTCCACGAAGGCTTCCTGAAGGCGGTGAGACCTGTTACAGAGCTTGGCCACCTCTTCCCTGTTGCCATTTTGGGTCTCCAGCTTTTATACTCCTCGGACTGCAGTGGCTTCCTCTTCAGTCCCCCGGCGCGCCGTCATTCATAGACACCCCACCTGTCCTTGTTCGCTCTTACTCCAGTTAGTGTGTGCTCGGCTCACCGGGGCCCTCAGACTACAGGGAAGAGGAGGCTGGGAAGGGGGGTCTTCACTTGCCCCAGCAGCAGCTGCCGAGTCCTGCGCTCTCACTCACAGCCTCCCCTTTGGCCCTGCAGGTCTCTCTGCCAGTCTGGTAAAGCCCCAAGGCCCTCACCATGGACTTCCAGCATCGCCCTGGGGGTAAGACCGGGAGCGGAGGCGTGGCCTCCTCCTCGGAGAGCAATCGGGACCGCAGGGAGCGCCTCCGGCAGCTGGCCCTGGAGACCATCGACATCAACAAGGTTGGTGAAACCGGGGGCGGGCGGGTGGGTGGGCAGGCGGCCTCCCCACCCACGTTACTCCCTCTCCCTGCACCTGGTGCCCTTGGCCCTGCTCTCGGCCTTGGGGTCCTGGTCCGTAATTGAGAGCCCTTGACCTAGAGCAGCTCCTCCTGTCCACCCCAGAGACCACCTGCTGTTCAAAGGGTCTTTTTATTGCTTGAAGTTTCTGGTTTTGTTTGATTTACCAGAGATGTGGAGAACTGTCAGTGGTGAGGGTCACGATAGCATCGCGTGACTTGATGATCTAGCTGTAAACGTCAGAGGGCGATGTTTTATTTAGGTGTACAGAGCTCTTGGTGGACCAGAGTCTCCCCACCAGCGCTGCGGACATTTAGGGCAGGTTGTTTGCCAGATTGTTTTGGGCACTTCTGGCAGCTGGGCAGCGTCCCTGGCTCCCACCCACTCAGTGCCCAGGAGCACCCCAGTTGTGACAACCACAGATAGGCCCAGACACCACCCAGTGTCCCTTAGGGGCAGTGTCACACTGGGTGTGACCCTAAGGGTCAGAGTATGGTTCCCCTTAGACTTTGAACCTCTGTGAGATGTGTTGAGCCCTCACCATGTGCCAGGCACCCCCAAAGCTCCCAGCATCACCTCTGAGGTCAGTTGTGTTACCATCCTCATGAGGAAAGAAGGGAGGACCACCACTGCCAAAGATGACAGGGCCCCCGGGCAGAGGAGGTAGAGTTTGAGCCCCAACTGGTGTGCTCTGTGCCTCGGGTCAGAGCGCTTGTGGAAAGTCAGCCGTCTGGCCGGGGAGGCCCTGCACGCCGAGACAAGGGTCTCTATGGGCCTTTGTTTTAACCCATTTGCTTTTGTTCTTCCCTTGTCTGGCCTGTGCGGTGGTGCTTGGAATCCCAGTGGGGTTAGCCACCCATCCCTGTCCTGACCCGGGAGGTGGACGCCCCACAGTGCCCTCGTGACTCTGCTTCCCTCTGGACCCAGTACTGCCATGAGGTGGGGCCGGGGGCCAGCATTGGTGGCCCCCAGCCCTGCCAGGTGGCCTGTATCTGCAGGGGCCCAGGTGGTCCCACAGTGCTGCCTCAGAAGGCCCTGCGGGGGCCCAGGCCACAGGCTGCTCCTAGTTTTTTGTCCTCGGAACACCTGCCCCAAAGCGGGGCAGCCGCCCCTCTCTGCCAGCAACTGGTGGTCTGTGCCTCTTGGACAAAGACAAGGCTTTCACCCCTCCCGGAGCAGGCGGGGACCACGGGGCGCGATGGGTGCTAACGGAGTGTGCTTCCCTCCCCAGGACCCTTACTTCATGAAGAACCACCTGGGTTCGTACGAGTGCAAGCTGTGCCTGACCCTGCACAACAACGAGGTGCGTCCCTAGTCCCGGGCTTGGCTCTCCCGCCGCCAGGTCCAGGTGCCACCTGTGCCACTCAGGCGGGACTCTGTGCCCGTCCGTGTCCTGGTCGTGCTCTCCCTGCTAATTCTGGGACGTTGTTCAGGGCAACAATGAGGGCAACAGGCTCGGATCTGCTCGCTCAACTGAGTGCCCCCCCCCATCTCAGCCTGTGCCCCCAGAGCCCGCCGCCGCTGTGGTGCGCCAGGGGCCCCTCCGGCGTGCTTCCCCTGAACGCCGTCACTGCCGTTCCCGCACAAACTAGACTTGCAGGTGTGGGGCAGGCCAGTCCCAGACATTCTGGATTCAGTTTTTGAGATCTCATTAGTGTGGCTCTAGCTCATTTCTTTGAATGGCCGTACATCGTCCCACAACGGTCTAACGAGCGCTCAGGCTGCCCTGACCCACTCAGTGACAAATAGATTCCGTTTGGTCTTCTGCACACCGTGGAATGTTCTGGTGGTTTTTCAGTGTGTGTACAAGTGGTGCTGACTCGGCCAGTCTTGCGTGTCAGGGTCTGTTCCCCTCAGCACTGCTGACGTCAGAGCCGGGTCATTCTCTGGGGGGTGCTGAGCAGCGTCCCTCATCTTGATGACCACAGACATCCCCAAACGTGGCCCAGCGTCCCCCTGGTGGTCCCAAAACACATGGGGTTCACCTTGCTCTCTTAGAGGTCCCCTAGGCTGCGGTCAGCATGGACGCGCAGGGTCACAGGGTGTGTGCACCGCTGGGTTTGCCAGCGGTTGCCAAGTAGTCTGCACCGTCCAGCCAGGTCCAGTAGGCGCCCCCCCACGACAGGCGGCGAGACCTGCCATGTCCCACACCCCGTGATTGCGGACCTTCGCAGACCTACTCTGTCCCACTGTGCGTGTGTCTCATTGCGCTTCAAGCGGACCCGCTAGAGTTGATTCCGCGGTGACCCGGTGTCCGCTTCGCGCCAGGCCCCGTGGACACAGGCCGGCTCCTCTCTGCCCACCCATTCACTTGGGCTATGTGTGTGCTTTTCCCGCTCCAGGGCAGTTACCTTGCGCATACCCAAGGGAAGAAGCATCAGACCAACTTGTGAGTACCCCCGCCTCCTTCCAGGGCCGTGTCTGGTCTCCGAGGTACACAAGGTGCACTTGGGTCTGTCCTTGCGAGCCACACGAGAAGAAGCCCAGCCCAGCCGTGCCTCGGGGCTGAGTGGTTAAGCTAACCGGTCTTGCTGGGGCGTGAGGCTTCCATGACACAGCGGGAAAGAGATGAGGGCTCACGGAGACTCCCTAGTAAAGGACCTTGGGAAACGTGATGAGAAGGGACAGGTGCCCCGACCTTGTCCCATCCCCACTTCAGGCAAACCCTGGGACCCCCAGCCAGCACCCCCCACACCACTCGCCTCCCAGACAAAGCCCAAGGTCAATGTGGAGGCTGGTTAGCTCCCAGCACCTGGGCCTGTGGCCTTGGCAGCCTGTGTGGAGGGGCCACAGCGCTTGTGTCCGTCCTGCCTGCAGGGCCCGGCGAGCTGCCAAGGAGGCCAAGGAGGCCCCCGCCCAGCCGGCACCAGAAAAGGTCAAGGTGGAGGTGAAGAAGTTTGTGAAGATCGGCCGCCCGGGCTACAAAGGTAACTCTGTCTGGGAGTGTGGTCTGGCCTGGCCTGCTGCTGGTGCTGCGCGCGAACGAGCCTTTGGCGCAGACCCCCAACCCTGTCCGTGAGCCACCGGGACTGCTGTCCGTTGGCTGTCGCAGCAGGGGCCCTCCCTCACCCCGCTAGTGCCCCGGCCCCGCCTCTCCTGTGAACGTTCCCAAACAACCGATCACGGTGCCGTGGCTCCCCTGCGCCGTATTCCAGTGTCTCGGGAGCTGGGGATTCTTTACAGTCCTAGTGAGGGTGTGTGGCCATGGGGGGAAGGGTCAGCGATTCCCTTTCCTTTGACCTCGGGGGGGCAGGGGTCCGTGTAAGAAACAGCATGTATGGGAATGTGTTCCTGGGAGCTAAAAAGAAAGGAAAAAACACCAGGCAGGTATCCCAACCAAGGGTAGGGACGCCGCGAGGGTGACAGGCGTTCCAGGCAGGACGGAGCCGTGCAGCTGCGCTTCATAAGCTAGGGCTTGGATGCCAGGATCCTTGTGGGGAGGCCACCAGAGGCCTTTTGGCCATAATAGGGCACTGGTGTCTGTCCTGAGTAAAGTAGGGGGACGCTTGAGGGCTGAAGGAGGGTGTGGCGTGCCTGGGAGCTGGACGGAGAGCAGCCTGGAAGTGTGGGCACGGCCACTGGCCTCTGATGAAGAGGGCCGCCTCCCAGAAGCCGGGTACGGGCATCGCCAGCCTTACTGCACCCACATCGTGCCATCCCGGCCCTGCAGGTGAGGGCCGCAGAGCCCACTCTCCTGCCCACTCCCCTCCCTGTGTGATCTCACGCGGGGACCCTCCTGGCCCTGGGCGTGGACTGCAGGTAGCTCTGGTCTATCAGCCAGCCGGTATCCTCCAGTGTCCTGCCCTGCCGTTTGTGGGCAGCAGTAGGCCACACCCACGGTCCTTTATCTTCGGGGGGACACGCTAGTCGGGACTTGAGACCCTTGTGTGTTGCAGTGACCAAGCAGAGGGACACGGAGATGGGCCAGCAGAGCCTCCTTTTCCAGGTAAGGTTAAACCTGGAGCCCCATCCTGAGTGAGGGAGGGTCCCTTGAAAGGCGGCGTTGGGGATCCCTGGGTGGCGCAGTGGTTTGGCGCCTGCCTTTGGCCCAGGGCGCGATCCTGGAGACCCGGGATCGAATCCCACGTCGGGCTCCCGGTGCTTGGAGCCTGCTTCTCCCTCTGCCTGTGTCTCTGCCTCTCTCTCTCTCTCTCTGTGACTATCATAAATAAATAAAAATTTAAAAGAAAGAAAGGCGGCGTTGCCACCTGCTGTGTCCCTGCAGATCGACTACCCTGAGATTGCCGAGGGCATCATGCCCCGCCACCGCTTCATGTCCGCCTACGAGCAGAGGATCGAGCCTCCGGACCGGCGCTGGCAGTACCTGCTGATGGCTGCTGAGCCCTACGAGACCATCGCCTTCAAGGTAGTGCAGGCGGGGTCCCCCGATCCTCGTGGGCAGGCCACGAGGCTGGAGTGTCCCTCCAGCCACTCACGGGTGCCCCATCTGGGTCCTTGGCTCTGGCAGGCTGGGGAGGGACGTCCTGAGACCCCAGGTGCCCCTAGCCGTAAGAAGCCCTCGTTCCTAGGCTGGTCAGGGACCCCATGACTTCGCCCTGGGCCCAGACAGACCACGACCTCCCCCAGGGTGGCCGGCTGGCGACATGGGCCAGGTCAGGTACCCAGAGCCGAATCCTGAGGCCCCTCTGCCTCCACTCCCTGCATAGGTGCCAAGCAGGGAGATCGATAAGGCCGAAGGCAAGTTCTGGACTCACTGGAATCGGGAAACCAAGCAGGTAAGTCAGTCTGGGTCCGGGCAGTTCTGGGGCTTTCGGTGGCTGCCCTGCTGGCCTGTTCTTCACCCTGGGCTCCAGGGCCCCACTCAGCCCTTTGTGTTTCTGTCCAGTTCTTCCTTCAGTTCCACTTCAAGATGGAGAAGCCACCAGCCCCGCCGAGCCTCCCTGCTGGGCCTCCTGGGGTGAAGAGACCCCCACCGCCCCTGATGAATGGTTTGCCCCCTCGGCCACCACTGCCAGAGTCTTTGCCCCCACCACCGCCAGGAGGCCTGCCTCTGCCACCCATGCCACCCAGTGGGCCTGCTCCCTCAGGGCCTCCGGGCCCTCCCCAGCTGCCCCCACCAGCTCCTGGGGTCCACCCCGCAGCACCAGGGGTCCACCCCCCAACATCCGGGGTCCACCCTCCAGCACCAGGAGTCCACCCCCCAGCTCCTGGGGTTCACCCCCCAGCACCGGTGGTCCACCCACCAACATCTGGGGTCCACCCACCTGCTCCTGGCGTCCACCCTCCGGCCCCAGGGGTGCACCCAACAGCTCCGGGAGTCCATCCTCCTCCATCTGCTGGGGTTCATCCCCAGGCCCCAGGGGTGCACCCACCGGCTCCTGCTGTTCATCCCCAAGCCCCGGGGGTGCACCCACCAGCTCCTGCAGTCCACCCCCAGGCCCCTGGAGTCCACCCTCCAGCTCCTGGGGTCCACCCACCAGCCCCAGGGATCCACCCCCAGCCTCCTGGGGTCCACCCCCCACCTCCTGGGGTCCACCCTTCAGCTCCTGGGGTCCACCCTCCAGCTCCTGGGGTCCACCCCCAGCCTCCTGGGGTTCACCCCTCAAATCCTGGGGTGCACCCCCCAACTCCTATGCCCCCAATGCTGAGGCCCCCACTGCCCTCCGAAGGCCCTGGGAACATTCCACCCCCTCCCCCAGCCAACTGAAAAGCAGCTCCTTCTCCAGGCAAGATTGGTGTCGTGTGTTCTGGTGTTTTCCTTCCGAGCTAAGCCTGGTGCTCTCGTACTGGGCTGTACCGTGTCCCCAGCGCTCATTAAACACTTCCCCTCGTGACCCGAGTGAACTGCTGTGTCGGTGGGTGGGGGGCAACGGGGGAGGGGGGGCGCTCGCAGCCGGCGAACACCACAATGCTCCCCCACCGTACGCGATGCGGTGTCTGTGTCCCTGTGCCCTACGGGACGCTGGTGGCTGAGGACAGGCCCAGCCAGCAGTGGCTCTCACTCGGGGACAGTGAGTGTGTGCTCGGGGAGCCCCAGCTGAGCCGGGGGGACCACCCGCGGCCCAGGCCCACCCACCCATGGGGTCCCCATCAGAGCCAGTACAGAGTCTCTGGGGCACCTGTTCTCTGCCCAGGGCCAGGCCCCCCCACCTCTGATGCCCGAGCTGTTGATAGTCTGCGGCGTCGCTCTTGTTCCCGCTCCCGCCTCCGGAGGGGAAAAGCTCAAGGACAGTGTGACAAGCTGGTCACAGACTGTCCCTGGTATCGCGGGTAAGATAGGCAGCCAGACTGGAACAGAAGAGGCTTTGAGAGCGGGCTTCCCGGCCTACCGTGGCCCGTGGTGGGGCGCCAGGCACTGGCCCCCAAGGTCACATCCCAGGAGGAGGCAGGCCCCCCCGGGGCACAAACCTCCCAGACTCGCCCATATAAGCCGGAGCAGCCCAGCCCCTCGCGGCAGCCGGAATGGGGGCTCTGGCGCTCTGGTCGCTGGCCCTGGCGCTGTCGGGGATGGGGCCCCTGCTGGGAGCCGAGGCCCCCAGAGGTGAGGTCTCGGGCACCCCGGCCTCGCCCAGAGAGCCGGCCACAGGCACTGGGGGTCTCCTCTTCCAGCCAGACTGGGACTGGCCGCCCGGCGCCCCACAAGACCCCCTGTGCCTGGTGACCCTGGACAAGGGAGGCAACGGGAGTAGCCCCCCGCTTCGGGTGGCGGGGGCCCTCCGAGGCTACGAGCACACCTTCCTCGAGGCCGTGCAGCGAGCCCGCTGGGGTCTCCATGACCTGGCCACCTTTGGGGCCTGCGCCGCCAGCGACGGCCGGACCACCCAGCTCTCCCTGCGGCAGCTGCAAGCCTGGCTGGGGGAGCCCAGGGGGCGGCAGCTGGTGGTGCTGCACCTGGAGGAAGGTAGGTGCGCGGCCTGGAGCTGGCGGGCGCTGGCGCCGGTCTCCCGAGGAGGGGGTCGCTGCCACGCTCCAGATGGGGTGCTCAGCGCACCCCTGCTCTAGAGCCGTCCCCAGCCTCCCGGGGACAGACACCGATGGCCCAGGAGCCAAGCGCCCTTACGTTCCTGGCTAGGGCCTCCCAAGTCCCCAAAGCCACCCACTCGCACACTTCTCGGGGAACACGTTTCTCCCCCGGCTACGCCACGAGGGAGCCAGAGGGAGTGCCTCTCCCGCATCCAGGCAACTCCGCGACAGGTGGCCTGGCCTCAGGAGCCCCTGGCCACAGACAGTCCCCCTGTAGGGAGTGGCTTCCCCCAGGGAGATCCCCAGGGAGTCCAGTGTGAGTGTGACAGGTGGCAGCCTTACCCCCCACCCTGCGGACTACCTGTATCGGGGTGCCAAACCTCTCCCACTGGGTCCCCGAGGCTCCCAGTTGGGGTGGGGGCTCTCCCTGCAGGAATGCAAGGCAGGCTTCGGGGAGGGGTTTGGGCTTCAGTGGCTCAGGTGTCCCCTCCCTGTTTGTCGTGGCCACAGTGACATGGGAGCCAGCGCTGTCGCTGAAGTTCCAGGAGCCCCCACCCGGAGGAGCCAGTCCTCTAGAGCTGGCGCTGCTGGTGCTCTACCCTGGGCCAGGCCCTGACGTCGCTGTCACAGGGGCTGGACTGCCAGGCACCCAGGTACCAGGGCTTGGATGGGGCAGACCTTGCCCAGCCGAGGATGGGCCCAGGATGCAGTGTTTGGGTTTGAGAGTGAACGTGTGCAAGTGGGAGGGGGGCAGAGGGAGAGGGGCGGCAGCCTCCCCACTGAGTGGGGAGCCCGACTCGGGGCTTGATCCCGGGACCCTGAGATCATGACCCAAGTTGAAAGCAGACACCCGGCTGAGCCCGCCAGGCGCCCGGGGAATAGGGGTGTCCCGGTTGGAACCCTGAAGGATGGTCAAGGGCAGTGGGCAGAGCAGGATGGGCATCCGCGCCCCAGCTGTGCTGCGCCCCCATCTCCACAGAACCTTTGCCGGTCCCGGAACACGCGCTACCTGGTGCTGGCCCTGGACCACCCGGTGGGGGCCTGGCACAGCCCTAGGGTCACCCTGACCGTGCACGCCCGAGGAGACGGTAGGCGCTCAAAGACGGGAGCCGGTCCGGGCGGGCCCGGGTGGGCTCTGCCCCTGAGCACTAAGCTGTGCCCCGGGGCGCGCAGGTGCCCCGCTGAGCACCCCCCAGCTGCAGGAGCTGCTGTTCGGGCCCGACGCCCGCTGCTTCACGCGGATGACGCCCGCGCTGCTCGTGCTGCGGCTGCCGGGACCCACGGCGGTGCCGGCGCGCGGCCTGCTGGACCGAGTGCCCTTCCCACCGCCCAGGTGTGCGCAGGCCCCGGGTGGGGGTGGGGGTGGGGGGGTGAGGGGGGGGACCCGCGCACCCGCCCATACTCCCACCTCCGCCTCCCAGGCCCTCCCGGGAGCCCGCGGAGCCCCCTCCCAGCGCAGACCCCTTCCTGGAGACGCTCACGCGCCTGGTGCGCGCCCTGCGCGGGCCGCCGACCCTCGCCTCGCCGCCGCGCCTGGCCCTGGACCCGGGCGCGCTCGCGGGCTTCCCGCAGGGCCTGCTCAACCTGTCGGACCCCGCGACACAGGAGCGCCTGCTGGGCGGCGAGGAGCCGCTGCTGCTGCTGCTGCTGCCACCCGCCACGGCCCCGGCCGGGCCCCCCGCGCCGCCGCCGCCCCCCGCGTCCGCGCCCTGGGCCGCGGGCCTCGCCCTGCGCGTGGCCGCCGAGCTGCGGGCCGCGGCCGCCGAGCTCCGTGGGCTCCCGGGGCTGCCCCCCGCCGCCGCGCCGCTGCTGGAGCGCCTGCTCGCCCTCTGCCCCGGGGGCCCGGGGGGCTCGGGGGGCTCGGGGGGCCCGGGGGGCTCGGGGGGCCCGCTGCGCGCGCTGCTGCTGCTCAAGGCGCTGCAGGGCCTGCGCGCCGAGTGGCGCGGGCGCGAGCGGGGCGGGCCCCCCCGGGCACAGCGCAGCGCGGGGGCGGCGGCGGCCGAGGGGCCGTGCGCGCTGCGCGAGCTGAGCGTGGACCTGCGCGCCGAGCGCTCCGTGCTCATCCCCGAGACCTACCAGGCCAACAACTGCCAGGGCGCGTGCGGGTGGCCGCAGTCCGACCGCAACCCGCGCTACGGCAACCACGTGGTGCTGCTGCTCAAGATGCAGGCCCGCGGCGCCGCGCTGGCTCGCCCGCCCTGCTGCGTGCCCACGGCCTACGGCGGCAAGATGCTCATCAGCCTGTCGGAGGAGCGCATCAGCGCGCACCACGTGCCCAACATGGTGGCCACCGAGTGCGGCTGCCGCTGACCCCGCGCGGCCCCGCGCACCCCAGTCGGCCCCGGGCCCCGGGCCCCGGGCCCCGCCCCAATAAAGAGCAGCAAGCAGCAGCCGTCGTGTACGTGCGCCGGCGCGGCCAGGCCGGGTCACCCTGCGCTCCCGCCCGCACCTGCGTCCGCGCCGTCGGGGCTCCAGGGAGCAGGCGCCGGGGCTGCACACTCGCTTTATTAGGCTGAGCCGCAGGGCCACCGCCCGGCGTCCGGGGGAGGGGGGGGCGGTCCCAGGCCTGGCTCAGTCCCGGCCCTTGCGCGCCCGGTGCTTCCTGCGGCCCGGAGGCCCGTCCTCGTCCGCGCGCCGCGGGGAGTCCCAGGCCGGCCTCTTCGTGGGTCCTGGGCCGCGGGGGTCCCGCGCCCACGGCCGCCGGCCCTGTTCGCGGGCCTCCCAGCGCCGGGGTAGGCCTCCTCGCGGCTCCCCGGCGGCCCGGGGCCTCTCCCTCCGCGGCCTCTCCCCCCGCCGCGGCCTCTCCCTCCGCGGCCTCTCCCCCCGCCGCGGCCTCTCCCTCCGCGCCGGCTCCGTGGGCGCGCGCTCGTCCCCAGCAGCCTTCTCTGCAGCCTCCGGGCTCCCCGCAGCCTCGGCCTTGTCCTCTGCCTCCGCCGGGGGCGCGGCCGGTCCCGCCGGGGGCGCCCAGGCCTCGGGCTTGGGCTTGGGCTTGGGCTGCAGCGGGGTGCGGTGGTGCGGTCAGCTCCCCCCTCCCCGCGCCCCGCCCGGTTCCCGCCGCCCCGCCGCCCGGGGTCACTTGCAGGAAGCGCTTACCGGGGGCGATGCGCGCTCCGGGGCCGAGCTGGGCGGTACCCAAGGCTCAGGGACAGGTGCGGGCGCGTCTGCGTCCCCGGCCACAGCATCTAGGAGGGGAGGGAAGTCCTTCCTGGGGAAGGTCCCCGCCTCCGCCAAGGCGCCCCCTGCCCTCCACGTCTCCCTCCTTCCACGTGCAAAAGGGCTGCAGGAGCTCCCGGGGCCGCACTGCCAATGGGGGACTCCCAGGGCCAGTCGTGGGGAGCAAGGGCCCTGAGGGGTGAGCACCTGTTCCCGGAGGAGAGAGGTGCACCAAGATCCAGTGCAGGAGAGGGGGCCTCCTCGGGAAGGGGCACCCCAGGTCAGCCAGAAAGGGTGAGCCCAGTGGGGCAGGGGGAGCAAGGCCCCCTCACCGAGTCCCTGCTAGGGAGGAGGGGAGGGGAGCGGTCGGGCCCGGGGCGCATACTCACCCCGGCACAGCTGGAAGGCAGAGCCCAGCAGTGCCACCAAGGAGGCCAGCACCAGGCACTTGTTGAGCGACAGGTCTCCCCAGGGCAGGTCGTCACTGGGGGCCGGGGGTGGCGGTGGCCGCTGGGGGGGCGGCGAGGCCTGCGCCTTCCTGCGCGCGGGGCTCCGGGGGGCTGCAGGGAGCAAGCACTAAGCTGGGCACAGCCCGGGGGCAGCCCTGCACCCCAAAGTCTGCTGCGCCCCACCCGGGGCACCCTGCATGAGGGGCCCTGCATGCCTCAAAGCTTTACTGGGACGGAGAGAATAGTCTAGAAGGTAATTCACTGAAGCC